TCAGTCTGACCACCTGCAGTGCTAATAGTCACGGGCCATTTCGGCTTGCCTGACCCACCGAACAGTGACCTCTGTTTCGACTCTTCGAGCTCCATGTCACCCATAACGACATCGTCGGTAATTACAATGTTTAAAAATATTAAAGCATTTTTCATGATTTTTCTGTTTTAATACAAGGAGTAGCTGGAAGGAGGAGGAGGAGGATGAGGAGGAGGAGGAAGAGGAGGAGAAGGACAATAAGTACATTCCGTTTTTAATTTCTCAATCACTAATAATACATGTTCGCACCATGCAATAGATAGACATAACAATTACTCAGCATTCATACAATATCGTTGCTGTTTATCATGGAAATTTTAATGTGGAAAACATTTATAGTGCTGTCATCTATAAAGCATAAGTTCTTTGAAGGTTCATAATTCCTAAACTCCTCTGTCTATCTACTATACTAGCCGCAACGTCACGAAGAAGCCCTTTTAAAGGTAAAGACCAGTATTGGAAACGCCCCAATTTCAAAAAATGAAATGGAAGCTCTCATTACCAATCATGTAAAAGAATATGTTTTGACTAATACATGATGATAAAAAATTTGCCGGGAAACCGCCTACTAATTCATATATTTGGTAAAATTGTTTCTCTCATGGTCTGTGAGAGATATAGGGTAGTCCCATATACATCTTTCTGTGTATAGTGCTTGTAACTTTACGAAGAATGGGCCAAATTTCTTATCATTTTGATGATTCCAGAACCTTACAGATGCTAGATGCTAGATGATCAACCTTTTCTGATGGATTCCACAACGTTTCTTTCACAATGCAATCGCATGACCATAACTGGTCTTTACCTTTAATTCATAATCCGTTTTTGGTCATATCGTCCCATTGGTTCAGAATTATGATGAATTCTAGTATTAATCTGTACCATCTCTTTAGGCTAAAATAATCTGCATATTTCAGAGTTTCTTCACCTTGGGATTGTTTCGCACGGTATCGATGCTTCGTGACCCTTGCCTGAGGAAATCAGATGCAAAAACAGGAGAACGATACCTACACGTAGTCTAAAATGATATTAATATCTTATAGCATAATATCACATGTTTTGTTGAGAACCAGAAGGGCGTTAATGCTATGTCAAATTATGGAATTTACAACGTAATATGAATTAAAGGTAAAGACCAGTATTGGAATCGCCCCAATTTCAAAACATGAAATGGAAGCTCTCATTACCAATCATGTGAAAGAATATGTTTTGACTAATACATGATGATAAAAAAATTGCCGGGAAACCGCCTACTAATTCATATATTTGGTAAATTTGTTTCCCTCATGGACTGTGAGAGATATAGGGTAGTCCCATATACATCTTTCTGTGTATAGTGCTTGTAACTTTACGAAGAATGGGCCAAATTTCTTATCATTTTGATGATTCCAGAACCTTGCAGATGCTAGATGATCAACCTTTTCTGATCGATTCTACAACGTTTCTTTCACAATGCAATCGCATGACCATAATTGGTCTTTACCTTTAACATCCTTCTTACTCTCAGCAGAGTACTGGTCGTACAATCGCACTTTGACAGAAACTGTGTTTTTTAACAACAAACACAAGATGGGCGAATTCAAACAAAGAGAAGGAGACTTCTCACGAAGAAATCACGAAGAAAGAGAATTACAAATTAAAGATCTATAAACAAAAATTGATTTTTAAAATATATCTAAGAACTAGAGGAAGGCGTAGAACTATATCAGAAGTAAAAGAAGAACTTAAAACGAAGAAAGGTGGACAACCCATCAAGTCCTTTCGTCTGAAGTCTGGAGATGGATGTTTGACGTGCGTGCACTGATCATGGACCGGGTCAGTGCCCCGACAAGAAAAATACGGTGAGAGGTCCCTGAGGAAGTGTTGGTATCGTGTCTATCCAGTCATCGTGTATACGCCCCACCGACGACGTCAATATTTGGACTTGTATTCTTGACAGATGTGTCTGATTGGAGGTAGAAGAGCATTAACTCTAGGGTGGCTAGGGTGGGGAGGGGGGGGGGGGGGTGTAGTATGTAGGTACAGGCTCTAGTTTGACATTTTTCCACAATATTGCTTCTAAAGCCTTGAAGGTCTATCGCAATATTTTGTTTCAGAGGGAGTTTGGCGCAGGGTATACAGTTTCAGTTTGAATGAATCAGTCAGATTTATTGTTTCGCGTAAAAATAAACTAAATAAATAAATAAGAAATAAAAATAAAAGATAAAATAATAAAACACTATCTGATTATTTTGATATGAGTCCTCTTTTTTTCCTTCACTTGATCTCGATGGGCTATTTGGCATAATAACGTACTGCTTTGCTGTCAAGTTTTGTTCATGGTTGAAAGACTACATGCTTTCTTATTCCATATTTCAAGTCAGCAAAAATGGTTAATTCCCCAATATAGACTCCTACCAGATAGTGTTTGTTGAGTGTTACAATAGAGTCATCTTAGATTCTGAAATCATCTTCGAATTAACAATAGTATGATTAATAAAAAGAGACCTACAACTCAAATGAGGAAGAAAAAAAAATGAAAAAGATATCGTAATCGGCAGGGATCGAACCTGCGCGGGAAGATCCCAATAGATTTCTAGTCTATCGCCTTAACCACTCGGCCACGATTACTTGATAGGAAATGGAGAACAAATTACATATTTATTATCCACGTTACTCACTGCTTTCATCATTTGCGTTTTTAAATGATTTTTTAATGAGTATAACACTATATTCCCTGTTCTTCTTACTTAATGACACAAAATAACGACTCGATACTTATTTAAAGACACAAAATATCAACAATAGATCCACATTCTGTGTGGAAATTGTGTTAGGCCAAGCGCCATCTATCGTCAACAATTTCCATAATATATTACAAGCGCCCTCTATCGCCAACTTCCACAATATATATACTGTATACATAACGCATTTTCCAGTTTTGTGTGATTCATCCGGATCATAGAGATATATACTACTAACTTATTAAGTATATATCTCTATGATCCAGATGTATTATGCGTCTGGAAAGTTTGTGTATCCGGATAATTTATTAAAATCGGTGATTTAAAGAAGTTTACATTACATGCAATATCTTATCAATCTTTTAACCCTTTAATTTGTAAGACATTATCATAATAGACAAATATGATGGTTGATGCTATTTTATGAACATTTTTTGCTAAATACAAAGACAAAAATGACAGCCGCTGTAAGGCTTTCAGATTTTCACCCCCCCCCCCCCCCCCCCCCCCGTAGTGCCAGCAAAATCAGAAGGTCACATTTCCTGAAAATTAAGAACCCGACCCCTAAAAATTAACTCTTGAACGCCAAACTTTATTACATGTTTATTTATGATTTTCAGAATATATCCGTCATAGACTAGATTCTGACGTGATCACACAGTTGCTTTGTCAGGGTTAGTGAAAGTTGGAGGAAATTCCAATGAACAAAAAAGAAATGCATTTCTTACTTCTAGTTTGTAATCGCTCAGATACAAGCTGGTATCTTTCATCTTTCTTTCTGCAGTGTATTAAAATTGAAGTTCTAGTTCTGTACTGATGATCATAATTTCATAACAATTGGATTAATAACATCCCATTTTTTTCTAGAAGGATCAAAACATCCAATCATATATTACTAGTACTAGTAGGCCTATAAAGGGCACGGTTCGGTAATAGTTTTGAGAAAAATTCGAATTCATGACATTTAAATAGTGAGTGAAAAGCTATGGTGGCCCTGAAGGGACATCGCGAATAGACTAAATCGTGAAAAATATGCGATAAAATTCACGATATCGTCAATTTTATCGCATATTTTTCATGAAGAAATTCACGAAATTGACGATATCGTGAACTTTATCGTGAACTTTTCACGATGAAATTGACGATATCGTGAATTTTATCGTGAAAAGTTCACGATATAAAGTTCACGATATCGTCAATTTTATCGTGTACTCTATCGTGTACTCTATCGTGTACTCTCCTGACGGGCGCTTCGTAAACAAAACCAGCCCTAGCTGGGGGAGACAGAGAGAAGGAAAAAGGGAAAGGGAAAGAGAAGATAAAAGGAAAGAAAGAATAATAAGAAGAAAAGAGGGAAACGGGGGGGGGGGCGAAGGGCTCTTGCCTCCTCCTCACTCCCCCCCCCCCTCCCCGCCAAAAAATAAATCAGAGAGAGAGAGAGAGAAGGGAAAGGGAAAGGGAAAGAGAAGATAAAAGGAAAGAAAGAAGAGGAAGAAGAAGGAAAGAGGGAAACGGGGGAAGGGCGAAAGGCTCTTACCTCCCCCCCCCCCCCCCCCGCCAAAAAATAAATCAGAGAGAGAGAGAGAAGGGAAAGGGAAAGGGAAAGAGAAGATAAAAGGAAAGAAAGAAGAGGAAGAAGAAGAAAAGAGGGAAACGGGGGCAAAGGGCTTTTGCCTCGTCCCCCCGCCCCCCGCCAAAAAATAAATAAGAGAGAGAGAGAAGGAAAGGGAAAGAGAAGAAAGAAAGAGAAAAACGAAAAAGAGGGAGAATAGGAAAGAAAGGAAAAGAAAGAAAAGAAAGGAGGCAAGAGCCCTTTATATCGTGAACTTTTCACGATAAAATTCACGATATCGTCAATTTCATCTTGAAAAGTTCACGATAAAGTTCACAATATATCGTCAATTTCGTGAATTTCTTCGTGAAAAATAGGCGATAAAATTGACGATATCGTGAATTTTATCGCATATTTTTCACGATTTAGTCTATTCGCGATGTCCCTTCAGGGCCACCATAAAAAGCTAATGGAGAGCTTGGGATAATAACTAACTTTTGATTCAGTATATTTCAAATTAAAGACTTCAATTTCTTTTTATCAGATTTTCCTTTGTTCGTCACTTCGGTGACAAGTAAAAATGTCTGATGTAAAAATGTTGCAGTTAAATATGTCAAAGGTAAAATGTCTTCCTTATGTAAATGAATCCCCAAGACATAAAGAATATCACATATATTACGCTTGTATTCTCGATTTATCTGCATCTTTTATTTTTTACGAATATGCGACAGACAATGCCATGACAATGGCAAAGAAGCCGTCTCACATGTACATCATTATCTATGTACACAAATAGTAGTTCATTCATTGTTCATACATATATTATTATTTACAAACAAAAGACAAATTTTCTGCTCATTATTTGCAGCTTAACAAAAATAATGCTTTTAAACAACAATAACAAAAATTCACATTAACATGCCAGTTCATCACAAACATACCGAAGACACTACATATCAAGGCAAATAACGAGAGAACATACTCGAGTATAAATCATAGCATCTAATTCCTTTTTACAGAATACTGTACACAAATATTACATCCATCTGTACAAGTGCTTCATAAAACTCGCTGGAGTTGCTACAGTGTTATCTTTACATAAATTTGTTACAAATTACAAATGACAATACCATCGGTATCCACACATACATTTTCACCAAATAAATACACATCTGTTAAAGACTAGTTCAACCAACTTTCTGCCACCTAATGCTGTTCACTATGTTCTGTATAGATGCTACATTTGATATGAATGTTATAAAAAATTCTCTCTGGACTCGTCAGTGAGTGATGAAAACCATACTTGTTATATACAGTCAACTCTGAATGTAACAAAATATTATTCTGCACAATATTCAATGACCTGATTCTGTCTGTGATCCGCCAAATATAAACTGGAGAATGAAACCAAGGTCTCCAGATAAAATAGAATTGCAAATTCATCATCAATTTTTTTTCCATTGACACAACCAGACATATTCCTCAATATAGTTATTTGCTCCTTCATGGGGTAAAAAAAGAACCTTTTCATAGTGCGAGCATTGCAATACAAGGGTGACAAATAATGATTGCATTTCACATACAAAACTAATCTTTCCAATGAGAATTTTGGCCGCTGATGAAGTTTCGTCGACAGTTTGTCAAGTGAAAATGTTGACAATTTAGGAGTGTCTTCTTTCCTTAGCCATTATATACACCTACGCTAAATCAGAACTCATGTAGCAAATTATCTTTCTTGTGAATTTACTCACAAATAGGAAAATTTGTAATGTATGGAGATGTCTTTAAGCTTGATAAAGCACAACTGCAAAAAGGTTTGAAGTTCAATAGATTTCTACAAAATATATAATTTTATTAGTGGAATGTGGAAGCATTTGGCATTAAAAGGAACTTTGTAGACACAAAATTCATAGTAGGGAAATTTAATTTTTGTTAATAATAAGGTTTTTTCTTCTTCTCGTTTTATTTATGTAGTAAATGAGATTAAATGTTTTAAACCAAACATAAGCACCATTATTCTCTTAAAGAATGTAGACCTAATACATATAGTCGGCTGGAATAGGCAAATTCTTTTAACTGCAGAGTAATTTGGTTTGTTCCGGGACTTTGCCAAAACAAGAGCAATACATCATTTTGAAACACCTGCAATTCTTTAAACACAGCTTGTATGGTAAGCTTCTGTGTTCAACAGTTGTAGGAAATTTATTACCATTTCGTATGATATCAAATATTTCTTCTTTACCTAATTGAACGCATGACCTTCATCGTAAAAAAAGTAGAGTCCTTTACATTGCTGTACCTTATTTGTCTACTACCATTTGTTTCATGTTTAAGTGAGAAAAGATCCTGAACAAAATCTGCCATTTTTATTCAAAAATTTCTGCAATAGCATATAATAATTATTAGATATTCAGAAAACTTGTAATTGATTCATGTTCTAAACACTGATACATACTGAACACCACATGTTTCTTTCTTGGCGTAGCAATGTTTGATTGAAAATACCTAATCTGTTTGTCACATAAACAAGACATCGGCACAGCAAGAGTGGAGTACAACACTTCACGTTTTGCATTCCCAAACAACATTACTATTGCCATAGTCTGGGAGTTCACTTAAAAGGCAGATTTAGGGTGTTTATTTTAAGTGTGCTGAAAAAGGCACATTTTCCCTTGAGCACGACAAGCCCTGCAAGGTCTAATTGCACAACTGTATTTTCTATATCGTGCTTCAAGAAATTGCAATAGCTCAACATGATTCACTTTGCTTTCCTTATCAAAATTAAAATTTAGTTTAATATCATTCCAATGTCAATAAGTTAATATATGAAAATAATTACCATGGCATTATATTTGGCTTGTTTTTCAAACTCCAATCTGTTGAACACACAGCATATCGTTTTGGCATTGATTTTCCATTTTTCATTGTATGGCAAGTGAAATCTCTTCTTCCCCACAAATGTACGATACATGTATAATATCCTTCCCAGAAAAGAACACTTTTTGTTTCCATCATAAATTTTCTCTCCCTGGTTATTTAAAAATCATGGGCAACTTCAAGTCTGTCCAAAGAAGTAATTTTGTTATTGGTTCCATTTTGTGACAGATTTTTTTTCTTCTTCTGATACGAATTGATTTATATATTTTCTCTTAAATCATCTTATTAAACATTAACCAATATGAATTGTAATACTGATAAATTGCTGCTTCAAATGATTGAACGAGTCATTTTTTACCTTACCACCAGTCTATAATTACAATTCTTGTTAGTTATCATTTTGTTTTAAATAACATACCAATAATAAGTAGGATTTGTGCATCTGTCACCTGTTCAATTAATTCCTTCATGCATAGAGTACATTGCAATATAAATTTGATAATGGTCAAAAACATTTTGCTTATTCTAATAACAGTACTAATTAAATCATCAAAGGTCATGTTGAATACAACAAAAGAGGGCAAATTATTGAACTACCGGTAGATAATTGTTCTGATAATGAACCTCCATTGAAATAGAAAAAAGGGCTGTTGTCATATATCATCTTCAAGGGATTACAGTAATCTTCAAACAACTTCTTTTAAGTATGAGATCTAAAATTCTCTGTTTTCAGAGACATTAGGAGCTAGGTAGATTGGCAAGTACACAACACTAGGGGGATGCAACAAACTAAACATGGCCATACACACGACATTCTCATCTTTGCTTATGCTATTTCATCGCTTCAAGTTACTGTCAATATCATTTCTGAACAAACACCAACTCCCAAAAAGGTATACCTGCATTTTCTTTAAGAATAGTTTCACTGTCACAAAGAAATATTGCTGTTCCACTGTCAGCTTCTGTGTATTGATTGAAATATCATTGCATGAATGTTATTAAAATTTAATCAGTATCTTTAAAACAATCAGATTGCCAGATATTTCAGTGTTGACAGTCTTTATTGTTTGCGTTTAAAATGCATATTAAAATGAATCTCATCGATAGCAAATGAATCTTGACCAAGCATGGGGAACAAGTGGTACACTCCACAAAAGACATACACTTGAATCGGGCTTTGAAACATCTGGCCAGGGGTGGCATAGCAAATTCAATCATTTACAAATGTTTGAGTGACAGAGTTCGACAATTATTTGATAAACACTATCTGTACAAATGTCCTCTTGTCATAGGTTATATTCAGGTCTGTACAACACAAGATGTCCTGGGCCCCATTTCACAAAACTTGTCATTAGTGACAAATGACATTTTTTGTTATAAGCTACTGAAATCCTTGCTTCTGATTGGTTATCAGCAGATTTGTCACTGATTTTTGTCATTTGTCATTGAAGAAAAAAAGGCTTTGTGAAACGGGTCCCTGGTGAGATAGTCTATCCTGTCCATAGAGTTATTTTCTGAGTATGATGATTTCTATTATTTGTACACTACATCGATTGAGACCAGATAATTACCCGGTCTCTTATCCCCATCTGTTACCTGGGGAGGTCTCCACCAGACCACAAGTCCCCCCTCCCCGCCTCCCTTCGATGGTGGTCGCCCCCTCCCCGGTCCACCCGATGCTGCTCCAGCTTTCTCTTCTTGGACTCGGCCGACTGTGACCTCTGGAAGTGGGGTGCCTGTTCCTCGTGGGCGTTGCCAGCGTCTGGCTTGTCGTTGGCGTGACGGCGGTGTTCATCCCCTCCTCCTCCTCGGTGGTAATGTCTGTTGTGATTGGACCCCTGAGACCCGTGCTCCCATTTGTGATCATATCTGTATCAGGTTTGTGGGGTAGATTGATGGGGAAAAATACAAATGAGGTTTGGGATATAACCTTTAAAAAAAAATATATTTTCATAGATATAACTGTTACACCTACAAATATGAGATTGTGTCGTAATTCTCTTTAATGCTCATTAAATTTTGTTCCATAGGCATATTTTATCAAATAATCACTTCAAGCAGTTTGTGTTAAAGCCTATCTGCACTGGTTTGGCCAGGAGGGATTAGACCTCCTTGCATGGTCACTGAGAAGTGGTTATCTCGTCAAATCAGCTCTCAATTAACATAAGGAAAAGAGGATCATGTGGAACCAACGGGTACCGCTTGACATTGTTTGCTATAAGGAGGGCGCAATTAGCTATAAGTAGTGCAGAGGGGCTTTAACTGAATGAGTAGATAACGGGCTGATGAGTTATGACTGCGTCCGAGCATCCTCACCTTCCATGTGAATCTTCTCTGTCCCTCGAATACCTGCTGTCACCCCCAGCACCGGAGTTGTACGTTCCACTAAACCTGTGGTTCTCATAGTGCTGGCGATTGTAACTACCCCCTCCGTCACTGGACCCATACCTGGAGACAAGGTACGTTTACATGACAAAGAGAGAGAGAGATAGATAGAGATAGATAGAAAGATAGATAGAGAGAGAGAGAGAGATAGACAGAGACATAGACAGATAGAGACACACACAGAGAAAGACAGATATATATATATATATATATATATATACAGAGAGAGAGAGAGAGAGAAAAAAAGAGGAAAATGTGAGAGAATCGAGAGTGAAAGATATGGACACAAAAGTGACGCAGAAGGGAAAGAGGAGAGAAAGAGAAAGAAAAACAAAATGAAAATGGGATACAAAAAGAGAACCAAACAAGGAAAAAGGGAGGGAAAAACTTGGTTAGATTACAATTACCAACTCTAAGACAATAAATCACTTGGTCAGTCGACATTTTTATGGCCACCCTGCACAAAGGTGTAGAAAGTAAATCAGATTTAATGATTACCAATGATTGATTGTTTGTATATGGCGATAAAAAACACTGTTGTTTTGCCCTTCACATGTGGGTTTGAACTTGAATGCGACCTTACAAACAAAGAACAAGTAGAAGTTTAGTGTGTTGCCTTGACACGCTTGATCTCTGCTGTTAAAGTAATAGTTCAAAGAGCTTCACGCAGAGGTGTGGCATTGGCAAGCTAACAGCGAGATGGCTATTCTCTTTAATAGCCTCATCCATGGGGTATGATGGTGCCTTATTAAAAACAAGCTCCTGTGGATTGTAGGAGTAATAAAATTACCTTGTTTTATTGACACCTTGTCATGTCAGAGAAAAATACAATTGGTTGTCACAGAACTGAACTTTTAATTAGGATTTGTTGTTTGTATGTTATCTATAACCAGGTTCCACCACGCATAACTCTGAAGGGAAAAACAATTAATTGACAACAGAAATGAAGCCCCTCTTATCTTTAAATCCGATTTCTCAACCATAGTATCCAAACTTCAACCAAACAAAAACTTGGAGTAGGTAAAATGAAAATCCATCTTCCATAATGTGAAGTGCAATGTGTCAAATCACCAAAATTCAGATAGTCCATCAGCTCCCATAATCTATTATCAGTACGATGCAATAGATCACAATAAACCATTCTTTGAGTGGCACTTTGAACAAGCTACACATACTCTCAACCATAAATTTTTATTTACATACAACAAATAAATAAAGAGTTTGAACAAAGTGACCCTTTCACTTAGCCTTCATCTCTTTGCTTGTCAACACAACACTTAATGTACAGTACCACATACATCCAGATTCCCACATACCACCATGCAATGTACGGGCCAGAGTGACTAGACTTGTACCTCTACAATCTCAACATGTTTGTTTGCATTTCAAAATCATATCTTCCCATAAAATATACATAAATAAATCCATGAAAGATAAGTGTTTATGGCAATGAGGAATGTGCTTTTCGTGAAAATCCATGTACCACAAGCAGAGATAGATGTTTTTGTGAAAAAGACACCATGAAAAATACAAAGCTGGCAGACGCCCAAGTAACCTCGTCATAATCAGATTATAAGGATCAAGTATCATTTCAATGGGAACATATCTTTCTGCTTTGTCATATTCATGGAAAACAAAGCATTCCAACACTTGTTGATCTCCATATTTGTTGTACATGGTTGTTAAATTGTAACAAGATTTTCATTGCAGTAGTTCATTACATACATGTACATATTCAAGTCCCAATAAGACCTTAAAAGGTGAATCCAACCTTGATAGCAAACTTCTCTATAGATCATAACAACAAAATCAGAGATGTAGTAGTCTGGTATAAGTTTGAATAAAATCAGACACAAAATGAGAAAGTTACGAATTTTTCAAAACTGCAATCACTATTCATATGGGCCCTTCAAATTGGCTGTCTCTGTGAATTAGTGGTGGACAACTTTCCCATTTCATCCAATACACAAAATAACTAAAATTTCAATTTAAAAAAAATTTATGACTCAAAGGAGGATCTTTTCTTTAAAGGACCTATACTATATATTTTGAGTAATGCCCCTAGGGAGAAGGCACTAAGGAGAAAAACAGAAATCAATGATATTTTTGTACACGACAACAGATGAGTTATGTATGCCGTTATGTCACATTCCACTGACCAATTTTGAAATTCGCATGGACGTAGTGATCTCCATAAAACATCCATAACGTTCTTATTATGGGTCCAATTTATTTCAAACTTTCACGGTTTCACCGTTCTGTTTATCATATTCTTCTGCTTTCATACAAATGAACTTAAAGGTAAAGACCAGTTATGGTCATGCGATTGCATTGTGAAAGAAACGTTGTGGAATCGATCAGAAAAGGTTGATCATCTAGCATCTAGCATCTGCAAGGTTCTGGAATCATCAAAATGATAAGAAATTTGGCCCATTCTTCGTAAAGTTACAAGCACTATACACAAAAAGATGTATATGGGACTACCCTATATCTCTCACAGACTATGAGAGAAACAAATTTACCAAATATATGAATTAGTAGGCGGTTTCCCGGCAATTTTTTTATCATCATGTATTAGTCAAAACATATTCTTTCACATGATTGGTAATGAGAGCTTCCATTTCATTTTTTGAAATTGGGGCGTTTCCAATACTGGTCTTTACCTTTAAGGGTTGGATTGCCCTTAAATATTTCTGTTTCCCATTCAAATTTTCTCAAATCATTAATTTCAGATGTTCATCTACCGGTAGTTAAAAGCTTCCACTTTGAGATTAAGAGTCTGTAAGTAATTCCCAAAAGAAATATGGACATCTGTCTCATTTAATCAATAACTGACTATAACTTTCTAATCTAATAAAATTAAGGACGATGCTAAATTTGAATTAGACACACTCAGCTACATGTATGATTTATCACAAACTGTTCCTTTAACGTGGGATGATAAATCTCTGAGCATTTCTCAACAAGGTGCTAACATTCTTGAACTGCACTTGATAGCCGAACCCCCCATATATCTGACATCTTAAATGGGGAAGGTGAGGGTTATAAAAACGGGCGTCAGATCAAGATGAGACCCTAAACCAAACCCCATAAACTAGGTGAAAGGAGGAGACTGGTTTTGTTTATTCAAAGAACATAAACACGGTTCCAATCCTTCACAACACTTTAAATCTCTGTGGCAGTATAAACCTTGTAGAACAAGATGGTAACTAGGAGAAACAAATGGGCGACGCAGAGAGATAAAAAAGTGCAATAAAGATGTTTACGGTGACAGGTTAAATGTGCAAAACTATAGAAATTTTTCAGAAGAAGATTTATCGTTGCATGGCATATATTGTTACAAGCCAGTGTGGTACCAAATACAACTGCTTGCGATTCCCATCATACTACATGTCTACACATTACAGTTCCCATAAAATACTAAAAAAATGTAAGGATGGCTAAAAAAAAACACCACACATCACTTTAATGAGGTGAAAATAGGCAGAGTACTTGATTTGTGTAAAATTGTTAAACTTGTTAAAATAGTTGTATAACAACCTCATATAGGTACAAAAAGATGGTGGATTTGTTTTATACAGACTGTAGCACCAGAGTGCATGTAAATCACTCGCTCATAGACCAATAATATATTTTGTTCTGAGCTTATAATTGTAGATTATCTTTTAGCCTCTACCTTATGGGTTATAACACCAGCGTTTTTATCACACACTATTAGAATGTTAATGACATAGTAACATCCCATAATGCATTCAATTAGTGATTACTTATCTCCACATTTGGACTCTTTAAAGAGTAATAATCCTTATTTACCTCCATTTTACATTCAAGTGCAATACACAATATTGATATACACCTAAACAATGTTTCTAATCAACCATATTTTCATGCTTGTGGGGAAAACCGGCAACACTTATCTTTACATGTGACATGCAAATATCCATTTAAAAATACCGAGGCAGGCTAGGAAACGAATGCAAAACATTTTGTGAAAGATATCCCTAATACCATATTGAGAGGAAACAACAAATTTCATTCATTACGAGACAGGTATGGGATTCATCAGAAAAAATAATATGTGAAAATTTAAACCTATTAAAACCATATTATAGGATAAACATGCACTGAAAGTAAGAGATACATGTGTATTTTCTATTTAGTTGGTTAAAAGACAGTAGTGCTACAAAATTGTGCATATCCATTATCCACCCCTGAAATATTGTCAATTCATAAGCGGCCTGAAACTTGAAGCCTTTCGGGGCATTAAGGACATTTCCAGATATTAGAAAGAATGTCATGTCATTTGCTGAGTATTATTTGGTATGAAATCTAAAACATAAAATGGAAAGTAATTTTCAAACAAATGAATGATTGTAATTGGTTGAAAGATGGATCCCTAAAATTCATAAGTAACCACCACCACCACCACCCTTAAGAAATGTCTTCTATAATTCATGAGTCTCTCTCCCCACCCCCCCCCCCCCTCCCTCTGCCCCCACAGTGAAAAGCTTGTTCATAATTATAGTCCCGACACCCATGGTCCCACCCTCAAAGAATGATGTGCATGGAATTCAAGAGAACAGATAAAAGAGCCTGAGCTAATTATGACTAGGATGATGTTATGATAGAATGAGTGAAGGGAGAGAGGGAGGGGGAGGAGGTAGGGGTAAAGTAAGTGGGAGAGCCTTACCTGTCTCGGTAATGCTCTCTACCATGGCCATCGACTGGCCCCCTCCGCTCTTGGGACCAGTCATTAAAACTGTGCCGTTGCTGACCAAAACTGTGCCACAATAAGTGGATGAAAAATAAATTGGGAACAAAAAATATTCAACAAACAGACACACAATGAGAAATAATAAGGCTGGCAACAAAGAAACAAGTCCATGGGGAGCAGGGTCTAAAACTCATCTGTTCCACAGTGTGTTTGTGAATAGAAGCCAGCTTGTATTAACCATTGTTTATGTGGTAATTACAAGGAGCTCAAAAAAGTGACATTGAATTTGTTGGAATCAGCAGCACTTTTCTAATAATGCAACCGGAGCACAAAACTACATGCAATTTAACACAAGTTGTACACAAATTGATCATGAAATTACCATATTTTCTTTTATCCATTTTGAAATGCAGATAAACCTGTCTTTCCCTGTACGCTGTATATTCTAAATTAACCTCTGCATGCATATTTTTCTTCTTCCTTTTGTGACCACTTTACCAGAAGTCAAAATTTGTAAAGAAAGCTTGGGATATACCGTATTGTACTGTCAACTGAAATGCCCAAGCTTGACATTGATATCAAATGAGGAAGACTACTTGATAAACCTTGGCAACGAATAGGAAGGACAGAGGGAAGAAAAACTGACTGATATATCAGTTCTTCTTTCTTTCCACATGCTTCTGACTATGAAATCACACATACGGTATAAAGCATAATACAGTCAAACCTGCTTTAGTGACCACCTGTCTACAAAGACCACATTTTTTGTTTCCCTTGAAAATGGTTTCTCATTGAAGCATGTACTGAAGGAACCTGTCTACAAAGACCTTTTATGTGTTTCTCCTGGGCGGTCGATACAGCAGGTTTGACTCTACCAATATTTCTTTACTCGACATCTAACATATAATTCCATATTGACACAAAAACATAATCACTTTCTAGTTTCTACAGCTAGTGCAACTGCTAGTGCACATGCCTCTTTTCTGACAACAGCTGATTCACCCCTACAAATGCCTGGAGAACATGGCTTCTCAGTAGGCCTGTCTTCATCAGCTTGGTATATTATCCCGTAACTCAAAACTGCATCTTCATCAGACCGATACGCTCATCACAAACTAGCTCGGACGGGCGCAAAGCAGCCCGCTATTTCCCAAGTCGCGAGTATTTTGGAAACAAGACCAAGATTTCTCGGGATATATTCTCGACCAAATATCCCGCTAATTGTAACTGTGGGCTGATGAAGACGCAAATTAACTGGCTTATTTACAATCGGGATAGTTAAAATAGCATGTTATTTGGCAAACTCGAGCTGACAAAGACAGGCCTAGGTTTCACATGACACAACATTTCCTCCAGTCTTTATTTCATCAAAAGTACAGGACTAGGGTTAGGGTTGCACTTGAGTGTTTGGTTAGGTTTAAGGTTAGGTAAGGGTTAGGGTTAGTTACAGTGTTGGGTCTAGGGTCCAAGTTTGAAGCGTCATCAATCAGCCCATAGTGTTTACACAATTACTTGCTTATAATATTGAAATACCACACAACTGTAGAAAACTCACTACCCTAAATTTCAATCTGTTACTTTATACCAGTCATCCAATACATTCTATAACGTACTGGAAAATATATATATATTTTTTTTGATGGTTTATAATTTATATAGTGCACTGTGTTGTTGCTGATGCATATATTTTGGAAAAGGACTTCCAAGTGTGCTTGGAATTCAACGTGGCTGAAACACAGAAAACACAAGAAATACTTGCTAAACTTGGGGTATGGTGCTTATAATAAAGACATACACCATTCCGGTATTTAACATTTATCACAAAAATAATGCACTAACCATTTCAAATATACAAGGGATGAATAACACAATTAATATCACAAATAATCAACAACAAACAAGGGTCAAATATCTTTGAGCACATGAAAAAGATAAGAGAGGGTATAACGTCACATACAGAAATTGGTGCCCAAAACGCAGGCGACTTTTTAGACGAAAAGAAAGAGACTTACCTGTCCCTTCCTCTGTCGCTATGACCATCAGCAGCCATTTGCGGTCTTCTGACGTTGCCTGGTCCACCCTGGTGATGCGGAGCTCCGTCTCGACCCCGCTGAATGCCTCCATCAGCCTGTCGCTTTTTGGAGGGAGCAGAATTGTGTGATTTTGCCTGTCGTCCATGCATGTTTGTTTTTTGTTTTGTTTTGTTTAATCCATTGCACATCACATATGACAAGGGGAGGGGACAAAATACAATAACAAAAAGAAGCTAAGCAACTGATGACACAGACACATATCAAATAATATATTCATGCTGGGAACTATACTAGTGCTGTATTTCAAAGGTTAACATAACTCTAAGTAATTGGATCCTTCATACTTTTCATATATAAATTTCTTTCAAATATAGAATATTATCGCTCTATTCTGAATATTATCGCTCTTTTCTGAATACTTTTGGGGTGATAATGAGCACTAAAAAATAAAAGGTTTTAAATATCTGAGCGTTTGCACGAGGCGTTAAAGCAAGTCATGGAAAAGGGGCACCTCACCCCCCCCCCCCCCCCCTCTACATTTTAACCCGATTTACATTGATCTCAGGGACTGCCTATTTTATTAAAGAAACAATCATGACTTGCTAACCACACACACACAACAAAAATCTGGAAATTATCAGGCCTGATAAGTATTGCCACCATAATTGGTGGAAATAACCAAAGTAATACAGCACTAATCTACATGAAAGGTTACAACTAATTTCATTACAACTTCTAAGACATTAAGCTTCTACATGTACATGCTAGGTCAGGTGCACACAAATATATACAATAAATGTATATGAACTTGTTTTTAAACGGTTCTCATATGATAAATATATATTGAATTAAAACAGCTTGTTAAATACATCTTTATTATATCGCTTTTTGTTGATTAGAATGGTATGCAGCAGAATACCCTCTTTAATAACATTGTAACATGATCCTTTCATTGTAATAGAAGGAAGGTTTCAATTATTTATCCTAAATCTTGGCCAATAGAACTTGGCATTAAAGGTTAGATTTTAACACAGAAAATGCAAACATCAATACTTCCAACTAGATCTATATCAGTCATGCTAAACACTGATAGTCAAATCATGAAATTATAAAAGTGAAGAATATACAACATTTTATACAAGCAATTTCAATCTCTATTTGTATGCACATAGTTGGGCATCAGTCTTATTTAGGCATCCAGTTCACTCTCTATTTATCATTATAAATCACAACAGAACGTGGTGACAAACTGATGAAGTTTTATTTTTTAACAAATTGGTAAAGAAAGCAATTTTTTTCTTCTGGCTTTATAATCTTTCTTATTTTCTATAATATTAACATCAATAAAAAATGAAAAGTCAGGAACTCTGTGCCGTACTAATGAGCTATACAGCACACACATAGAACACAACAGCGATAGAGTAAGATTTGTTAGTTACAAAACAAACAAAAAGGTCTGTATTCACATAGCCGTTCAGGTTCACTTCTTGTGTGATACATAATTACAACAAAGGAAAAAAATTCTTGTGGAAACTAAAGTGAATTTTGGCTTAAGTCCAATTTTAGAATTTGCTAAAAGAAATTAGTAGTAGCATTTGAAGTCTAGGTATGAGATGGGCTTCCTTTAAATACTCCACATGATTTTATTGATAGTGTTTTCAAATTTGTAAACTATCAGCCTTTATAGTACCATATAATACCACAGGAATAATCAGGTACCTCTTTTTTCCATATATTTCAAAAAATAGACTGAATAATTCTTCATATGAGCATTCAATAATCATAATGTTGTGGTCTCACATGTTCTTGTGAATTTCAAATGTTGTTTTTGTGAGTAAAGGAGGGTGGGGCAATTGTTAATGAAGCCAATTTTTAAATGTTTTGCTACAGACGTTTTAATACAAATCCATATATCATAAATTGACAATTTAAACCCCCAAGGAATTAACTAATTTGTGTGAATGCAGACAAATCTATGCTCATGCTGAAATGGACTTCTTAAATGAAACAGGATTTTCATGTCATTTCATTTTTTCCCTCAAAACTACTTTGTCAATACAAGCCACGAGGTTTAAAGTTAGCACACACTTCATTGATAAATCTTAGCATCTTTTTCCAAAATAGTGTACTGAACGAATCGAACTCCATTCCAAGAATTCTTTAAAAAAAGTTTAATGACTTATTAATTGGGGGAGGGGGGGGGGGGGGGCTAAATTTGGTCTTGAATTAAATATCTATTCATCCTAGTCTTACGTCTCTTCCTCTTATGACTTCAGCACGCATGAAATATAAAATAATATGCAACATTAGACAGTTTTGAAATGCATGAACGTAAATCAAACAACAGAAGTTCCAAGAGTCGGTACAAGCACACACATGCAGGAAGAAAGTTAGTCGACAGATAAGACAGTAATACTTTACCTCATCTTCCTCCCTCTTCTTATGTGCATGGCGATATAACCGGTAGAGCTTCTTAGCATCAAACTCTGTAAACATGGCTACAAACGTCCACAGGTCTCTGTCAGGAGAAAGATAATAGAAAGAACAATAAGTTATATTATGGTGTAAAATACATTGGGTACACTTCATCTTGAAAATTTTAAGATACAAGACTGATATGCAGTAAAAGGATTGAACTGAAATTTCTGTATTATTTGATAGTGACATTAAAAAAGTATATCTAAACTGGAGTCACTGGACCTTAGCTGTCTTTCTCTGGTCAGAACTGACTAGGGAGATAAGTTTGTACTCGAAAAGCCCGAATATTGAAGAAAAGACCTGAAGACATTCCTCTAGAAAATGGTGACAAGTCAGTTGCTCCCATGACAGCTGCTCTGGGCTTCATTTTGTCAAAGATACAGGGTTAAGGTAACAAATGGGTTTCACTTTAGTTTTAGGTTTAGGATTTTGGTAAGGTATAGACTTAGGTCCAGGGTTGAATACAGTTAGGGTAGGAAATTGAACCCGAAGCAATTGTCGCAGTAGCATGTATCGTACTAACCTAGGAAACACATCTGGGACCCGTTTCACCAAGCACTTTTTTCAATGACAAATGACAAAAATCAGTGACAAATCTGCTGATAACCAATCAGAAGCAAGGATTTCAGTAGCTTAAAACAAAAACTGTCATTTGTCACTGATGACAAGTTTTGTGAAAAGGGGCCCCACGTGATACACAACAACTCTAAAAGAGTTCTGTACTGATCTACCTTTAACAATCGCACAAAGGGAACAGCCATCAAACATTTTACTCGGCCCAAAACAACCATCTTCTTTCACAGCGCCCAACATTTTGCAGTGGACCTGGTGATTTTGTTCTTCTAGTCCTTCCCCATTCTAGCTTACCCTTTCCATTCTTGGATCTTGTCGGGGTCGTTGAACTCTTGGATGCATTCATTGATGCGGTCTCCAATCTTGAGGAGGCATTGTCTGGTGTGGTTGAGTTGCTCTTTCTCTGAGACATCTTCTGGAGGGTTGTCCAACAGCTTGAGAGCCCTCTTGACTGGTCTCATCCTCTCCTTGCACTGAAGATGAAAGGAGACAAAGGGAAAATGAAGAATGATCAAAACAAAATAATCCCTTTTTCCTTTTACGTGGGTTGTTCAAAGGTATTCAGAATGATTATCGTCTATTTTCCAATAATGGCTAGAGTATAAGCTGGTTTAGACAACTGGGAGTCTAAACCACATCTTCAACAATGCTAGGTCATAAACAGTCTGCATAATAATTAGGCTTACATTTCAATGTTTTACATACACTAATCAGAAGGAGACTATATTATTTTAGGCTCATTCCACAGCATTTTCAATAAGTCTACATCACTGTCATGCCATATTCAAGTTCAAAAACATATTTCCGAGATCTGTACAAATTTATAATTTTAAACATTATAAATCAGGGTCAATTACTTTGATCCAGTAAATGTAACTGCCAAATTTATCTCATGTCACAGGTGATGACCAGCACAATTTATCTTTATGAAAAATGTCTCCTAAATTGCAATATCTTCAGCTTGGTAAACTGTGAACGATCTGTCTGACATAATGTATACTTACAGCACTGAATGTCTGATCATCCAGCTCTCCGGTTGGATTGAAGACAACGGGCGTTTGCATGGACTGGATATTTCTCTTGGCAGCACCTTTCTTGTTTCCTTTGCTCTGTGAGTTAACATATAAAAAACGTGATATGGATTGAAAGTACAGGGGTCTTCATTCCTTAGAACTAAAAAAATGTAGGCATAATGATCATGGTAATGTGTTGAAGTTTCTAGGATGCCTGACACAAGCAGATTTGCATGTTGCAACTCGAAACATTCTATAGTGAATTTCTCGTGATAATGACAAGTGTATGTAGAATGCTTGAAGAAAATAAACTGCATATGACCATGGAAAATAATTGCCGCTCATTGTATGGAAAAGACTAATTTATCTGTTTGTGATGTACATTTGTATGCAAGTAGATTGAAATGCTAGAATCACCCAAAAATTTAACAGTTTTGAAAACCACTTCATTTTTTTAAAAAACTTTTTCTGCAACAACGTCCGGTTTAATCAAAAGCATATCCTAAAATGCCAGGCCTATCATATAAATCTGTTTGGGCATTGAGGAGAAAGTAGTGCACCTTACCTTCTTTGGTTCTTCAATTTCTCCCTCCTCAATCTCCCTCTCTTCGTCGTCGTCGTCCTCCTTCTCCGACTCCATATCTTCCTCCTCTGATTCCACTTCATCCTTGACTTGCACTTCTTCCTTCTCCTTCTTCGTCTTCCTCTCTCCCTTTTTCTTTGGTTCCTTTTTGTTCTCCTTGCCTTTCTCCTTCTCTTTCTCTCTCTCCTTTTTTCTCCTCTCCTTCTCCTTCTCGTCCATAGGTTTGCGGCCCCTCTTCTTTGGCCCCTTATCAGAGTCATTTTTGTTTGTGACTTCGCCATTGTCTTTGTTTTCACCCTTTTTCCTTCTGCCAGGCTTTTGTTTCTCCTCCGTTTCATCTTTCGCTTTGGTCCCTTTCCTTGGTCTGGCATTGTGTGTGACCTGCAGATTGTAATGAAATATTATAAAATGAAAGAAAATATCTTACAAAACTGCAATTTCATGACATATCCTTTAGAAAAATACACCATTTGAGAAACAGCATATGTAAATGTAAGAAATACTGTAACAATCAAACACATTACTTGGGGCTAACTTAAAGATACTATGTCCCTTTTGCAGCCAACATCAAATTCTGTAGAACTTTGCAGGAATTATGAATATGTCATGTATCTTTGAAATTTAAACGTTAGCAGTGTCCTAATATTCAAACTAGATGGAACTTCGACTGCGCGCAGTCGAAATGATGCCTCCGTCATAGAGCAATTTTACAAACCAAAACAGAAGAAATTGTTCAAATTCAAGTTCAATTGTAATCCATTAACAGGTTCTCAGAATATCGTGATTACAAGCAATTTCTCATATACATATATGACCCTTTGATCTTTGACCACATGACCCTAACATCTACTCAGTTAATTGGCTCTGCAAGATGTCCCGAGTTAAAAGTAATCCATCTGTCAGTTCTAATGAGAATGCGTTCACAAGCTATTTTTGCATGCATAATGAGCCCATGACCTTTGACCTTTGACCTCATGACCCAAGAATCTACTCAGTTCATTGGCTCTGCAAGATACATACATGATCTAAGTTTGGGAGGAATCCATCAATCTGTTCTAATGATAATGCGATCACAAGCTATTTTTGCATGCATAATGAGCCGCATGACCTTTGACCTTGACCTCATGACCCAAAAATTTAATCGGTTCATCGGCTCTGCAAGTAACATACATGACCTAAGTTTGGCAGGAATCCATCAATCGGTTCTTGAGATAACGCGATCACAAGCTGTTTCAGCATACATAATGAGCCCTGTGACCTTTGACCTTTGACCTCGTGACCCCAAAATCTAATAAGTTCATCGTCTCTGCAAGATACATACATGACCTAAGTTTGGCAGGAATCCATCAATTGGTTAATCAGATAATGCGATCACGAGCTGTTTTTGCATACATAATGAGCCCTGTGACCTTTGACCTTTGACCTCGTGACCCCAAAATCTAATCAGTTCATCGGCTCTGCAAGATACATACATGACCAAAGTTTGGCAGGAATCCATCAATCGGTTCTTCAGATAACGCGATCACGAGAACGGGACGTACGGACGGACGGACAACCCGAAAACATAATGCCTCCGGCTACTTCGTAACGGAGGCATAATTATGCAAGGAAACCCGTTTACTTGCTAGACCTAACTGTCAGACACTATCGAGTGACTAAATTTTTTTTTTTCTTCTTTGGTAATAACATACATAAAATGAGCTGCAAAGGGTACATGAGCATTTGTCTACATCAATAACCCACTTCTTGTAATGGCCAAAATAAAATGATTGATTCTTTGCGCAGCATGAAACATACGACCATTCGGTACAATGGTCTGAAAATCAGACTTACTTACTGGCTCTATAGCTCTTAAGTCGATTTGACAACTAATAGTCGTTATTTTCCCACTTTAAGACATTTTCAAGCCCCCATTTTTTTAGGGAAGTTCTAAATTAGTATTATCTCTCAAATGCTGTTGGAATTTATCCTTTTCATTTTTTTGGCCTGCAAATGGGACATAGTACCTTTAATTGTGACAAAAAAGATATCATCGATTAGGTAATATGACTTGTTCACAAGTATAGCGGCCCATAAATCATGCTTTGTTCAGGATCCATGAAGACTGCAAAACCAGGGACCTGTTTCACAAAGCCTTTTTTCAATGACAAATGACAAAAATCAGTAACAAATCTGTTGATAACAAATCAGAAGTAAGGATTTCAGTAGTTTATAACAAAAACTGTCATTTGTCATCAAGTTTTGTGAAAGGCCCCCTTGGCAGGAGTATTTTGGAAAGCCATCTATCATCATATCATTACCTTTTCAGCTGCTTTGTTTGCTGACGTTTCTTTCCTCAGCACCTTGACCAGGTTCTCAGCTCTGGTCTGTAGTTGCTTGGCTTGGGGCTTTTTGGTTGGGTCTGCTAACAAGATCTGCACAAAAAATGAAACAGGACATTTGAACAATCAACACTCAATTATATATAAAAGCCTGTCTGTACTAGTTTGGCCAGGGGGGATAAAACCTCCCTGCAAGGTCACTGACAGGTGGTTGTCTCATCAAATTAGCTCTCAATTAACATGAGAAAAAGGGGATCATGGGAGACCAACATGCACTGATTAGGCATTGTTTGCTCTCTAGAGGGTGCAAGTAGCTATAAGTAGTGCAGTGGGGCTTAAGGGATCTGTTTGGAAAGAAGTATTGCTCAAACTCCCAGTGTACTGTGTTTGTATCTCCCTAGAAGGTTCCTATAGTTCCTAACATTCAGGGATTTTATACATGGCGTATGTTCAATGGTAGCTTCGTCAGATGGTTGATAATCCTACAAGATTCATGAGCGGGAGGTAAAGGATATCGCTAAGATGACACTTTCTCATGAAGCTTAAAAAGGATAAGTTAGCATACGATTTGCAGTAATATACATAGTTAGGTAATATATCAATAGCACTTGATTCCTTCGAAAATAATAACACAATAGCTAAATATAGAAAGTTGTTACTTGAACTTATCTGTGCCATTTCCCCTCCATGCTATCTCATCCACTTCATATTACTTCCAATTAACTTATCCTTTCCTCCATTAAAATCTTTACCATGATTTTTCTCCACACACATGACATAAGGGCTGAAGTGGCTTGCATTATTAAGGCCTCAAAGTATCTGAATCAAGACGTCTAGGACCGGTTTTACTAAGCCTTTTTTCAATGACAAATGATAAAAATCAGTGACAAATCTGCTGATAACCAATCAGAAGCAAGGATTTCAGTAGCTTATAACAAAAACTGTCATTTGTCACTGATGACAAGTTCCGTGAAACGCCCCCCTGTTACATACCTTATCATGTAGGTTGAGAGATGGGTCCATCTTGATTGCTTCCCAGCTTCCCAGGCCGTACTCGTAGATCCCGATGAGAAGATTGTGATCATCATCCTCATCCCACTCCACGTCCCAGTGGACGATGCGTAATCTGGAATGCAGCTGAAATCTATGTCGATGAATCGAAGGAGGACAACAAGAAGAACATGAATAAACCATTTTGATATAGCACTGTTCACAAGTAGTTGCGTCGTAGTGAAGCGGTTAAAAACACTAGTCCTGGAGATGCCAAAGACGTGGGTTTGAGCCAAGGGGTATCCAATTTACGTAAAAAGACCAGGTTATTTGGTTGGTTTTCCAGCTGGGGAAGGGGGCAGGGAGGAAACAGCCCCCCCCCCCCCCCCACCCCAGAGTTTCACCAGGGGGTGGAGGGGTGAAAAATGTTAAACTTGGCATATACATAGAGCATCTTATAATGTATAAGCCTATGAAGTATATGTCAATATCTCAAACAGCTCATTAATTAATCATGCATGGACACCTATTTACCTGTTTAGCCGATGGTTATTACACCATTACCAAGCTCTTTGCTCAAATAAATTCATGTTTCTAAGAAGCAAATTAAAATGTGAAGAAAGTGTTTCATGTGTTCTATTACTGTAAAATCATCCACTCACTTTTTCCTCTTCTCTTTGCTGGCAGGTATTGAGGCAAGGGGTTCGTTCTCTTCTTCGTGCTTGAGCACTGAAGGTGCATTGATGGTCACGTTGGACAGCTTGAAAGTAGCTCCTCGTTTCTTACCTAATAAAAGAAAAATATCAAGACAAAAAGAAGACAATGTTATCACCACAGAATTCATTTGATTTTGATTATACAAGCATGGAAACATGATAAAGGCAGGCAAAATAAAAATAAGTGATGTGACAGATATGGTCCCTGAATATGACAGCTTTATGGACAGCAAACCATGATTTAAATGACAAAATACAAATTATCCAAAGTTTTAATAGGTTATGATCAAGAATAAATTCTATGAAAATGCATCAAAAACTATCACAACATAATTACACGTGGAAGTAAATAGCATCTGCATACTGAATCTGTATGAAAATGTGTAATTGCTGAATACCTCAACATTTCAGGTCATGCATATTTTGCTATTTAGTTTACATCTGACTAGCTTAAACTTTATCACAAAGTATAGTTACTGCATAATAACAATGGCGATGATTGTTTTACCTGACTGCTAAGAAAGCATGTACATGCTTGTAAGTAAACAACCTGGGAACGGACGGCTTTAAGTCCTCTCTGAGGGACTTGGCAATGAGAATTTATGCCTTACAAAAGGGCACGAGCACATTGAGGTGTCGTGGTATAGTGGATATGTCACCGGACTGTGGATCACAAGGTCCGCGGGTCAAGTCCCACCGCAGCACTAATGTCCTTTGGCAAGACATTGATCTACATTTGCCACTCTCCACCCAGGTGTTAAATGGGTACCCGGTAGGATGCGAAAGCTAATGTCGTTGGATTAGCAAGTGTGCGCTTGTAAAAATGACACCTGGCTGGAATGCTCCCCAGGGAGTGGAGAATGTGCATACATTGTATGCAGGTAAGCGTGAATCCAATGACCGGGGTAATAATATACTTATCTGTAAAGCGCTTTGAGAGGGCCTCCGGTCCTGAAAAGCGCTATATAAGAACGAGCTATTATTATTATTATTGACTTGGTTTCGAACCCGGTTATGAGACCACTGCTCTACCACTTAGCCATCGTGCCTCCTCTCTGCACAATGAATTTCTAAAACTCTGTGAGCTTCACTCAAGTAATCAAAATTGGCGTTGCGACTAGACTGGCTGGATCACTCACCATCAAAGTCATTGTCAGCCTTGAGCCTTTCGTTGTAGTCCTCCACAGCCTTGACACAGCTGTCATGGAGTAGGGTGCCTAATCTCTTCAGGTCTGCTTGGGCCTTCTCCTGAAGCTCTGCATCTCCTGCTATTGCCTCTAACCTGGAGTGAGCAAAAGAAGTAATGTAACTTCGTCCACAAATCAATGTATGGAAAGTCGATTGACTTTTCTGTTTCCTCTAGAGTAGTGTGCTATCAAAGTTGGATTTCCCTTCAAGATACTTGTGATAGTTTTAAATAATTTGAAATGAGTCATAATGTAACCTTTAATTCATGTTACACCACAATGCACCATGCATTTGAACTTCTAACATCATTTATATGTCATTATAGTTTCCTACGTTGGGCCCCAAAATCCCCTTTCTAACACAAGGAAATGGACTGTGGACTCTACAGAGTGCAATGTACTTTTGGTTAAAATGGTCGAGATAGCAACAAACTTCGCTTTAGGAGTCAAATTTTTGTAAGGAAGATTTATGATGTCCATCACCTTTTAAATTCAAGAAAATGATGCTAAATTGCAATGAAGCATGGATGAGAACTCCATACAGATGTGCATGAAAATGAAATCGAAAACTATTCGGAAGTAAATTGGGACATTATTACATTGTTAACTGTATGAGACTTACCTTGTAAGTGGTGCTCCGAACTTCTTGTAACTTTTGACAAACCTACAATAAAAAAAAAGATAGCAAGGCAGTAAAATAATCGTTCATATGAAGAAAGTTAACTTGTAAGTACACACAAAGAATCACAAATTATTTTGATTGTAAATAACGAGGGAAGTTTGTATCAAGATGTAGTGCTAATTTTTTCATGCAATAATGATAACTGTATCTATTTAAAGGTAAAGACCAGTATTGGAAACGCTCCAATTTCAAAAAATGAAATGCAAGCGCTTATTACCAATCATGTGAAAGAATATGTTTTGAATAATACATGATGATAAAAATGTTGACGGGAAACCGCCTACTAATTGATATATTTGGTAAATTAGTGTATCTCTCGCCTGTTGAGAGATACAAATGCACGTGTCGCGCACGTGTGTGTAGTCCCATATACATCTTTCTGTGTACAGTGATTCTAACTTTATGAAGACTTGGCCAAATTTCTTATCATTTAGATGATTCCAGAACCTTGCAGTACATCTATGCTAGATGATCAACCTTTTCTGATCGATTTCACAATGTTTCTTACACAATGCAATCACATGACCATAACTGGTCTTTAGCTTTAAGCCTTGAACACTGTGAGATCTTTTACACAAGCATCCTTAATATACACATCTCCACAAACCACAATGTCTTCCCTAATACATTAGATCCCTGGAATTCTCAATACTATGCGATCATATACAAATAATACACCTTCGAAACAGTCCAAACACCCTCGGCTGTCGCCTTGGGTGTGATAGACTGTTTGAAAGGTACCATGTGTGGGTAATTCTTACTAATGCCTGAACAACATGATGTGTATTATTTGTTTCATAAGATGTTTTATTTCTTTAATAAAATGATGTTTTATGACATGATTTTACTTACAACCGGTCATAAGTATTTACTAATGACTGGTCATTAGTAAAATTATGTGTTAGGCAAAATAAATGCTTGGTCATGTGTACGCTCTCAACCAATCACTCGATTAGGATCCACTTCATATCTTATGATCACTACTATCTCACCTTCTAATATCACTATCAGAGAATCCTTGCACAGTATCTCTTGGTACTGTCCGAGGTCTGTTAAGACTTGCGGTTGTCATATATACAAAGTACTAGGCACTGCTTTCCCTGCTTTAAGATTTAAAAATTACTCAATACCACCCGACCATTACTACCATCTCACCTTCTAATATCACTATCAGAGAATCCTTGCACAGTATCTCTTGGTACTGTCCGAGGTCTCCCCCTAGGTCTCTTTGACTTGCGGTTGTCATTGTCGCTGTCATCAGAGTCACTGCTTGCACTGGACACCATGTCACGCTTCCGCTTTCTACTGAACGAGGCTTCAGAATCGCTGTCATGATACGTCATCTGAAACAGGGAAATTAGCAAACTTGAGAATTGGTATTTTGCTGCATGATTATACATTTAAAAATTGTATAATTGCATGACTCAGTTGTACCACTTTATTTTCAATTGTATAGATATTACTGATTTTGTGACTTGATGACTTGGGGCCTACATCTTTTCCTTTAAACTCTCTTGCCCATGCTCATCTAAACTTAAGGTAATTTCATCTAGTGATGATACAGACTATGTCTTTCCCTGTTATGGTCTTTGTTTTGACCTGTGAACGCAAACCACATCCATTTCCCTTTCACTCAATGTTCAAATGTTCATCCAAACCTGGGGCCCATACATGCCAACATTTGAAAATCAGAAATCTGTACAAATTATGCTATTTTTAAAAAAAAGAGTAACAATCCTAACTCTCCTATTCAATACTACAGACAAATTTGTACAGGAAGAGGAACACCTGCATTAAAATGATAATTATCTTCTCCCAAAAAGAGGAATGTTCCTCTTTAATCTGAACAGTTGGCATGTATGGGGGCCTGTTTCATGAAAGTTTTCATCAATAACCAGTTAAACTGACTGTTATGAGCTGCTGAAATAGTGGTATTTGATTGGCTGAGAGGAGATTTGATAACGAGTTTCTTGAAACAGGGCCCTGGTTAACAAAATTAATTCCAATCATCTCAAAAGTACAATGGTATCAACAAAAATATTCAAGATATAATAGACATAAATAAACATTAATCCCTAAGCAATAACAAGTTTGAAAGATTTTCAAATATAATGAAAAAAGCTCTGTGGTAGAGGCATTTCCAAAAAATTCAATAACTTTCATACAGAAATCATCCTTGACAACAATGACATAGCAGTACCACACAGACAGACAAAGACTAGACTAGGCTAACCCCCTGTCTGTCTGTCTGTCTCTCTCTCTCTCTCTCTCTAAGAGCCATATCGATTGACTTTGGCGATCACGCTGTTCCACAACCCTCGGTTCCTTGTCTTCTCTATTAGCACCACTCCCAGTTTTTTCACTCCTCTCTCTCTTCCAACAATCTCTTCAGACTGTCGATCCAAAGTATCCTCCTTCTTCTCCTACTCCTTCTTCCCACAATTTTCCTTGTCAAAGCAAGATTCTCTAGGCCTTTTTTTACGTATAATGTGACCTGTGAACTTCAACTGCCTAATCAACATCTCACATATCATTTTCCTTTGCACTCTAGCTTGTCTAAGGCTTACCCTATTGACTTGTTTTCTTATCCTAGGTGGTAGATAGAGAGCCATCTCTTCCTTCTGTTTCTCTTCCTCCTCCATCTTACTCCTCTCTGATGCTGGGATGATGTCCTCCCAGTCCTTGCCCTCATCCTCCTCATCGGGTTCTTCCGTTGCATTGAAGTTGGCCACCTGTTTGTTATTCCATAAAACATGCAGATAAAGCTCATTGATATTGAGATTAAACCATGATTGTTCATATCTATAATGAGTCTATATGCCACAACATTATTTGTTATATTTCAAGTGGAGATTGCTTTAAAAATGCCCTCAAAACTCTATGTTTAAAACGACTTTCCAGTAGATTTACTTTCACATTGTTGTTGTTCCATTTTTGTGTACTTGTAGTTTTTCTTCACCACTGCGCCTCAAACATATTAGTCATGTGGACTTGGCGCATTACAAATACTCTATATTATCATTATAATTATATCATTTGTCTTCCAGCAACATGCATATTACATATTACTATTTAAGCAATAGCTATTTTTATTATGACTAGGAAATATGGATTTGAAAAAAGTAGAAGTTAATTTATTGAATTTTATGATCTTTGTTCCAGGACTCCCCCACTTTTTATTTATTTATTAATTTTTTGGCAAAGATATAAGCAGATCTTCCAAAATAATATGCTCTGCAAAGATGAGAAGAGAATGCTGTAATTAATTGTGTAGTTCATTTTCACTATCTATCTTTAAGAAAGAAATTGTACTATTCAGCTTAACAGCTTAACAGATTTTCAATGAGCGTTCCATTATTATTATTGTTACTCATGAATTTTTCCTTCTTTGGACACATAGATGTACAGAACATATCACAACCATAGTCCATGAAGTGTCAAACAAAACCGCTACTCTCTGTGTCCCTCACAAACAACAACTCTTAATCAACGACTTGGTGTTGGTCCCTCGGCATTGTTTGCTATATAGAGGGCACAAGCAGCTATAAGTAGTGCAGTGGGGCTTTAAAGTGTGTATTTTCTAACCTTGAACTGTGAGAGAAGCTCTTCTCCTGCACCACCAGGCTCTTCCTGTTCTCTCGTCTCTGCTCTCTCTAGGATTGCATCAATGTCCATCTCCTGCTCATAAAAATAAAAACAAGAGTAGTTCATGATAAAGAATGGAAAATATAATTAAATGTTATGATCTTCATATAGGTAGTGAAATAAAAAGAAATTCTTTATGAACGATGCCACACTTATTACTTAACAGCTTGAAACTTTGAACGATACTAGAATGCATTAGAAATTATGAGAACAATACTTCTGTGGTGGGAAAAGTCACACAAAAACTAAACAAATGTAGTATCAGTGAAGACTATTAAATCAAAACTAAATCAAGCCTTTAGTTAAATTGACGAGATTGTGCTGGATTGAAATAAATTGAAATGTACAATGAAACACCATTATTCTTGTGTAGAATCACAAATCCCTATCAGACAATACTATCTTTGGAAATGTCACAACTCTTTGCATCTCATTGTTGTTTCCATTTAAAATAAGCTCCCTCCCATCTCTTGCAAATTTTTCGATGAATAGCAGAATGTTTGGAATTCTGTATATCGTTAAGTTCACACTTGCCTAGACAATAAAACAAAGGTATCGGACTGAAAAGATTGAAGGTGAATCTTACCGGAAGTTCCGTCTCCTCTCCGTCTGGTTCCTTGAAGAGTTCCTCGGCCCTGAACTTGAGGATAGCTGTCAGTTCTTCCTTGCTGAACGGGGCATCTCTACTGATGGAGTAGTTGAAGCATAGATATCAAAGTTACTCCCGATAGTTAACAGGAAAATACCTGGGTGCCACATTCATTACCAGACGGAATCATCATCCAACAGGTAGTTAAACAGACATGCAGATATTTTCGTAGGAACATTATATGTATATTTTGTAGGAAAATTGTATGTGTCAATGGCATTGCAACGTTGAACTGTTAAGAAAGAATGATAATTTCATGCAAAAATGGATTCTCAAAAATGGGAGTTTTTTTTTTTCAATCTGAATTGATGCATAGATACAACACTTTATGTCTTTCAATCGATGAGATACCTTACATTGTTTATGCAATATTTCATGACATGAAATAATCATCACAGAAGGGTGCAACTTAAATAAATCTTAAAATATTTATTTCTCAGGGAAGAATATATTCTTAAACTAATAAACTGCATGAACAGTCATCTCAAACGTGTGTATGTTTATTCTTGATATTATCGTTTAGCAGCCATGCAAAAGCCGGGGTAACAGCAGTGGAACACCAGGAGTGCCTAGTGTGACAGACATGAGCATTATACAAGAACTCACACCACTACTACTCTACTACTACAACTTACTACTACTACTGCTACTACAACTACTACTACCATCACCACCACTACCACTACTACTACTACCCCACTACTACCTGTATTATTACTACCACCAACACTATTACTACTACTACCAACAACGGTGGGTATAATCTATCCTGTATGTCCAAACCATCCTATTCCAAACCATCTGTATTCCTAACCTCAAGCAAGTTTATCCTAAGTACAGATAATATGAAAAAGAATTTACCTTGCTTGAGATGATGACTTTGATAAGACTGTTCTTCCGGTAGTGTCCATCCTTTGTATCACCAAGTGATCTAGCACCATCTTCCTCTTGGCTCTCTCTATGATCTCCTCCTCTATGGTATCCTTGGTAACCAATCTGTAGATGTTCACCTGAATGAAAATTGAGAGATTGAGAGTTAGTTGGTAATGTATTCCAAGGACTGGAAATGTCATTGAAACAGAAGAGGAATAATCATCATTTTTAATAGTTTGCTCAAGATTTGCAGAATAATAAACTAGATGTCCACATCATGATAGATTATTTCTCACACCATTTGTCTCTATTTCCCAATTTGTAAAGTTCAGGATAGTTCCTAATCATTATGGGGATCCAATTTTTTACCCTGGAGACATTACTCTGGATACGATTTCATCAAACATATAGGAGTTTATGCAAGCAAGTGATCAAACCAAGCCTCTGCAACATTTACTCTCTCGATATAAATCAAACATATTGTGACCATTTTATAGAAAGATACAATTCATTTCAAACTATTCAACTAAGTGTGAGTCATTGGTTATGATACAAAGCCCAAGACAGTTAGCAGGTATACATCAGTGTGGCAAGCAGCATTCTAAACAAGGACCAATCCCCTGCAACATAAATTGTATATAATTTGTCATCAACAATATGAACCGGCGAATTTGTACAGTAATATATGAGCCGGATTCGTCAGTTCATAATGATGCAGATATGAATCAATCATATCTTTACCATACTTTAATTATCACATTTATGTTATAGAAAGATACAATGATACAGAGCCCACGATAGTGATCAAGATAGTTAGCAGGTATACATCATTGAGTGTGGCAAGCAGCCTTTCAACCGAGGACCACCTGCCATCTGTCTCTTAACCCATCGAGCAGGGTGGACCCTGTATTAAGCCTATGGGAATGAAAGAATCTAGTAGTCAAGGGGTTAACATGACGGCTCACCTGTCTCCTCTGCCCTATCCTATGTGCCCTGGCCATGGCTTGGATATCATTCTGAGGATTCCAGTCAGAGTCAAAGATGATGACAGTGTCTGCTGAAGCAAGGTTCAGGCCGAGACCTCCTGCTCTCGTGGACAGCAAGAAGCAGAAGTCCTAGACAGAAGAAAAGACACTGCCAATGTTAGGGTATGATTAAAAATCATATTATCTATATACAGAGATAACAACCTTATAGGATGGTTGTCAGGAATATTTACCACATTTCCCGGAACAAATGGGGGTCTTTCCGGAATACAAGACAACACAGCATATTTTTTAGCACAAAAGACGCACACACACACCCAATCACTGTTATTACTGCATTTCAAACCTAATGGAGCCCCGTAATCCCGTAATCTATTAGTTTTTTACTGTAACGCCGGAAAAAGAGCAATAAAACTGGAACAAATACGGCAAAACCTTAACGGTTGGCACAACTGTATATAATCAACTTACTAGCATGGTATTAAAGACACAACATTTTGATACAGAGACATGATGTATGGATATTGAGAACCCTTATAAGAAATAAATTTTGTAATATATTTGCACATCGGATATTGAAATTCCATCTCTCAAAATTAACATTCTCAATGTAATGAAACTAAAGTGCACAATGTGCATATTATATATGTATTTAGCCAAATGCAGGAACACACAATCATCTTACATTTCAATTCTTCTTTTCTTCCCAACAAAATCAGTTTCTACTGAACAGTGATCTGAATTAACACCTAGGTTCCAACATGTGCTATCCTGTGTTCCCTTTGAATATCTCTACATTAACTAGTTCTGTGCACAACAGCTTGCGTTCAATCAACTAGTTGAGAAACATGGACTTACCTGAGATCCTTCTGCATTGAAGTGATCCAAAGCCTGCTTTCTGATCTCACCGCGAATCGATCCGTCCAATCTCTGTAAGAAAGAGGTACGACATGTTATCATGCTCATCTATCTGTTTTAAATATTATGCAGGTTGTAATGGCTACATTTCAGGCATTAAGGCTATCATCACTTTACACAATTCTACTGCCTCAGTCATTTACATCTCCATTCGGTGGAAATTTTATATTGTGTTAAGCCTTAGATTTTAATCAGGACATTTTCAGGATATTTTATGGAAACAAGTACTTGTTATTCCTTGCTCTTTATCCCATTATTCCTAATAACCACTTCTGTTTACAACTTGTGCTAATTGTGAAAAAAAAAATAACATTCTCTCAGGACAGATGTCAACAAGAAGATGAAACGATGAGAACATGCTTTTACCTGAGCATTTTCTCATATTATGCATTTTAAAAGATTTTCTGCTATGGTATGGCACAATAGAGCATGATGCTAACTTTAATTTTCTCTCTTTTTCTAATCCTCCATGGACCATGTGGCAGATTGGCCCTGTGCTAAACAAGTTATCCATTAAAGTCCACCACCACCACTACTACTTCATAAAAAAACTGTTACATGAATATAGATAACACGAACATTTTCAAAAAAGAGCCCTCCTATTCCTCTCAAATAATTTTTTAGACAGAGGAGTTCTAAGATAGCACCTACCTGATGCTGGAAATGTCTGTACTGGAGGTATTCTGAGAGGATGTCCAGCATACGGACCATCTGAGAGAAGATGAGCACCCGATGACCCCTCTCCTGGAGTCTGGTCAGAAGCTTGTCCAGCAACACCAGCTTACCACTACCTCGGATGATGTACTGTAGAGAGAGAGAGAGAGAGAGAGTCAGTTAAGGAATTAGAAGGCAAGAATAAGTGAGAAAGAAAGGGGGTCACAGGGAGAGAGAGAGAGAGAGAAAGAGAGAAGGGGAGGAAGAGGTAATGAGGAAAGGGAGAAAGAAAAGGAGAGCGAGAGAAAAAGGTAGACAGAGAGAGATAGAGAGAGAGAGAAGGGGAGGAAGAGGGAATGAGGAAAGGGAGAAAGAAAAAGAGAGCGAGAGAAAAAGGTAGACAGAGAGATAGAGAGAGAGAGAGAGAAGGGGAGGAAGAGGGAATGAGGAAAGGGAGAAAGAAAAAGAGAGCGAGAGAAAAAGGTAGACAGAGAGATAGAGAGAGAGAGAAGGGGAGGAAGAGGGAATGAGGAAAGGGAGAAAGAAAAAGAGAGCGAGAGAAAAAGGTAGACAGAGAGAGAGAGAGAGAGAAGGGGAGGAAGAGGGAATGAGGAAAGGGAGAAAGAAAAAGAGAGCGAGAGAAAAAGGTAGACAGAGAGATAGAGAGAGAGAAGGGGAGGAAGAGGGAATGAGGAAAGGGAGAAAGAAAAAGAGAGCGAGAGAAAAAGGTAGACAGAGAGAGAGAGAGAGAGAGAGAGAAGGGGAGGAAGAGGGAATGAGGAAAGGGAGAAAGAAAAAGAGAGCGAGAGAAAAAGGTAGACAGAGAGTTAGAGAGAGAGAGAGAGAGAAGGGGAGGAAGAGGGAATGAGGAAAGGGAGAAAGAAAAAGAGAGCGAGAGAAAAAGGTAGACAGAGAGAGAGAGAGAGAGAGAGAGAGAAGGGGAGGAAGAGGGAATGAGGAAGGGGAGAAAGAAAAAGGCAGACAGAGACAGAGAAAGAAGCATGCGAGCACATGGACAAACAGATGGAGACATAAAAGGGGGAATATGTTTCTTGCTCAGTATCACATCTGTGGGTGCCAAAAGCAAGTTTCAACCTAATTATCTTTGGCATATTGACATATTTACTGTGTTTTATCCTAATATTATGGCTGGACTGTGCAAAATAGGAATAAGGATCATAAATAGAGAAATAAATTGCAATTGTTATTCATAAAATAGAGAAGTATCACTTATACCAGGAGCACATGCATCCAAATCACCACAAACTGGGAAGTTCTTAATTTCAAATATCTTAAATGGGTGTGTGCTGATTTCTGTCTGATAATGGTATGGTATTTCTAGAGTATCCAGTAGGCTTACGTTTGTACCATATGAGAGAGGGGGAGGATTGGGGAGTCTTGAAAAGGACTGTCGGTAATCTTTCTTTCTTGAGTGTGTGAAGAAAGATTACAGAAAGTTCTTTTCAGGACTCCCAAATCCTTCCCCTCTCTCACATGGTGCAACCAAAAGTCTACTGTATATCTAAATCACCATGCAAGCCGATATTTATAAGCAGCATCTATTTCCAGAGTGTTCATTCACCTTGAGGTCTGGATCAGACTCATCTTCTGGAGGTCTAATGAGTAGCGAGTGATTGCAGCATTTCTTCAGTTCCATCATGATGTTGATGAAGGAGCTTGTATTCCCCTTCAAACCTTTGCACAGGGCCTTGAAGTTCCTTGTCAAGATAAACCTATGGAATACAAGATGAAATACAAGATGAAATTCCATTGAAAGAATTAGAGTAATAAAAGACAGAAACTCATTCCTTCTAATAAAAACTACTATAAATTATAATTGCAGCAATAGAAAGTGCGGCTTTAGACATGAATCGATAATATAACATAACACTAGATACAATTACAGACATGATGCTGCTGTTAATATGAGATCCCGTACATTTGATCTACAGTTGCTCCTTTTTCCTTTCTCCTTCTGCTTCAACACTTGTATATGTGTATTGTGTATTTCCCACATCATAGCCTGGATAAAGTGTTTCAAAATCTACAGCTTATTAAAAATTGGAACATTCTTGTATTGCTGTTTCTGTGAGGAGCTCTATTCAAATGTTAAAATCTTCAAGATGCGGTGCCTTAAATTAACAGCGAAATTTAAATGACAGACATAGTTGTATAGGAGCTTATCATATCTATCAAAATAACCTACATGCAGTGTACTTAATGAAAGACTAAATACAGTCAAACCTGCTTCAGTGACCACCTGTCTACAACAAGCACATTTTTTGTTTATCATGAAAATGGTCTCTCATTGAAACATGTACTAAAGGAACCTGTCTACAAAGACCCATTTTTGTATCTCCCTTGGGCAATCGCTGTAGACAGGTTTGACTGTACAAAAGATAACCTACTTGTAGTACTGTTTCTGTAAAGAGCTCATCTCAACTCTCAAGATCCTCTCCACCTTGGCAGGAAGTGATTTCTCCACATCCTTCTTGACTCTCCTCAGCAGGAACGGCTCCAGCTCCTGGTGGAGACTGGCGTAACCGTTCTTGTCTGCTTGTGAAAACTCCTCCTCAAAGATCTCCCAAGTTGGAAACCTGGAAAGAAATGTAATTAAAATCAATGTTGTTACAGACAAGTCTAGTTATGATAAAGGAGCTTATAACAAAAATGAGATATATAGCAAACAAAATGTTGTCTCAAATTGCCAGATATTCTACTATTCAAGAGATTTACAAGATTTTATAGAATGTGGTTCTGTGATTATTCCTATGACTCAAATCTACCCTATCCCCTGCTGTGATCAGTCTTGTACACACAGTAATGGTATTTCCACCAAGTCTGGTGTCAGCAAAATATGGCCTTGTGCACATGGAAACTGATGACCCACTCCCTATAAGTTTTCTTGACACCAACTTGGTCATTTTTTACAATTTGCCAAAAGATCTACGACACATGTTGTGCTTCCATACCTGCCAACATTTGAAAATAAGAATTAAGAATTTTTAGCACGGTATGCCTTCAAAAATAAGAAATCGCACTTGTAGCGGCAGTGTAACTGGCAATAGCAATACGCGGTAAATCTGTACCAAAGAGCAAATACAAATTCACTGCTCGATCATGCAACTATTCAACGCATGCAATACGTGAACTCTCAAATCGCGGCACATGATAAAACAAGCTTATTTTGGCTTAAGCACCAGCAAAAAAACACAAAAAATCTTAATATTGTGAATTTTCAGGTCCTTAAAAATCCAGAAAATCAGAATATTCTGGATTATTCGGAAGGATTGGCGGGTATGTGCTTCTCTCACCTCTCTGGCATGATGAAGTGAAGTAAGGACCAGAGTTCCTTGAGTGAGTTCTGCAGAGGCGTCCCGGTGATGAGGAGTCTGTGGTTGGTTTCAAACTCTTTGAGTGACTTGTAGAGCAGGGAATCATCGTTCTTCAGCCTGTGGGCTTCATCGACCACCAGCACGGCCCAAGGCACGGCTCCAAGGAATGCCTGGTAGGAAGGGAAATTTGATACATTGATTAATTATTGCTTAATCCCAGACTTATCTTCTTGATAATATTTCTTCTTACATACCGGAAGAAATCTCCGCTCCTCAACAAAGAATTTTCTGATTGTCCCTACCACATCAACCAAAACGTATAGTTCTCGTGCTTTTTCAACGGCAGCGCCCGTCTCGTGGAACCAACTTCTTGACCAGCTTCGGATTGTTGGGAGCACTGACGGCTTTGGAAGAGCCCTGAAAACTTTTTTTTCTCGAGGGTTTCCTAGAGCTGCTTTATCCTTTTGCTGGTTAGGAGGTTGGTTCAACATAATGGGTATCTGTTTGTTGAATTTGTAATATGTAATGTCAAATAGTTTTACTAAGGTGTAATTATAGGGTAATTGGTTTACTTTCCCATAAATATTTTTTGTTATTTGGTAATCTACTTTGTTATTTATTATGTTGTTTATATATTCAAATGTGTCATGATTGTAAAGCGCAAAGAGAAATTTTCAATTTGATATGCCCTTGATAAATATTCTCTATTATTATTATTAATCATTTTGCAATACACTCTAATATACAAGAAAGTTGTTACTGCCACTTGACAATACACAGCTCATATGGCCTTTTTGCAGACAGCCGACAATTTACCGATGTAAATGTATGGTGATATTTTGGTAATTATAAATGTACGCAAATTGCATGCTGTTTAAAAATTGATATAAAAGCTAACAATGCATCATCTATGAGTACCTTTACAAGGACATTTTTTGTATATCAAAGATATTTTGTCTTACCTTCCATCCAAAACAATATGGGAACCATTGCATAAAACTTACCATCAATGGCAACTACCATGGTAACAGGGCTCAACAGCCAATCAAAATCAAGGTTTCCATGGTAGTTACCATTCATGGCAAAGTTACCATCAATGGTAATTGTTGTGCAACAGGGCCCTGGGTTCTATTATATTTGATGTTACTTCCTAAACCAATAGATAATGGACAAATTTATGTATACTGGATCTTTAATTAATTACCCCAAAATGAATCACCTCCCTGTGAGAATAAAGAAGATTGATCACACCAACATTTATTTTTTTCTCTGTGCTCTACTATTGGTTGGTGAAAGAAATAGTTCCAATCCCCCCCCCCCCCATACATCATAAATTATGTAAACCAAAACACGAACTAGGTCAGAGACAACGATGGAATATACTTACTTTGTCTTTAAGTAGAATTTCATAAGTTGTGAGGATTGCATTGAGTTTGAGTTTGTTCCTGTTTCCATGGACACACCACTCATACTCCCGGATCTGAAACAAAACAAAAGTAAAGAAATTAATGACATCAAGTGTACAATAAATACATATAGCAGTTGACAGAAATCAATTCAGCTAATAAACCTTGATCAGAGACTCAACAGCATTACAACATTTGATTGACTTTTTATCCGTTATGGATTGAAATCCAAAACTGCTACATTGTTGATGAGCACATGTTACACAAACATTAAACATGTGACAGAAGTCAACTATGATGGTCCGCTTGTTTCCATCTATTACTTTACCAAAGGAGGTACAGAGTTAAAGATAAAGTTGAGTTCTGGTCATGCGATTGCATTGTGAGAGAAACGTTGTGAAATCGATCAGAAAAGGTTGATCATCTAGCATTTAAGAATTGGTAGGTACTGCAAGGTTCTAGAATCATCAAAATGATCAGAAATTTGGCCCAGTCTTAGTAAAGTTACAAGCACTGTACACAGAAAGATGTATATGGGACTACACAAGCATGTGGCATACAAATCTGTCCCAATTTTTATGATGTTACATGCAATATTTAGAATATTAAGGCATTTGAAGAGCCATGCTTTTTAGGGAGCATTTTTTTTTATCTGATAACGCTCACAAATTATTTTTCACCTCTTCCCAGAACTCAACCATCTCTTTAATTCAAAACACAAACTTACACTGTTTCTACTGTTGATGTCTCCTATGTACACCACCACATTCATCTTGCTGTCCCAGGCTTCAAACTCCCTCTGCCACGACGTCATGGTGGAGAGCGGAACCACGATGAGGAATGGACCGTAGAGTTGATGGACATTGAAGAGATAGGAGAGGAAAGAGATGACTTGGATGGTCTTCCCCAATCCCATCTCGTCGGCAAGAATCACGCTGTTTCGCCTACAAAGAAAAAAAAAATTAAAAGCAGAAAATATAGATTGTATAAAAATGTCACCTTCCTCTGTTGTAAGTAACCATTCCTGTTTTCTTATTTAGAGATGTGATGTATCTAAAATGATAGCAAGTCTTCTAATCAAAAGCAAAGATACAATTGCCCATCTTTTATGTACATTTCAAATGATATCAAAGCGAATTGAGTTGTGATTGATTTGGAGAAATTGAAACTCTTTATAAGACAGAGTCCTATCATCAAAATGCGATGCACAAGTCAGTAATATTATAAATTATATACCTCACTTAAGTAATCCAGCAATCTGATTGGTCGAAATTGCATTCATAAACTTTAACTGTTCCCGAAAATTCCCGGTAACCATGGTTAAAAAACAGTTCAAAATCTCCATGGTTACCCCATAGGTTTACATGTTAAAAAATGGTCTGAGCGATCAAGGATACCGTACGTGTGCGAAGAATTGGTCGGTAATTTCAATACAATTGAATCTCGATCGATCTTACCGACAATTTTATCTTGCATTGTTGACATTAAGACGAAAATAAACTTCCAAAAACAAAAAAACAACATCTGCCGATAGATCTTGATCTAAATTCGTGCCAATATGCATTGCAAAAGAAGGGCCTGTTTAATGGAGCAGCCGCGAAGCTTCCACCACGCGAAGCCGTTTTCAATCCATTTTAATGTATATATAAGAAAAAACTGCAGTGCATGGGAACAGAGCGCGATAGCCGAGCGGTTTAAGGCGGCGGTTTAACGTTACGTCACCTTTGGTACGCAAGAGTTCGAATCCCATCTTCGACAAATTTTTTTTTTTTTTTAATTTTTTTATTTGGCATATAAAAGTATTAATGACTGCTTTAATATTCGAGAAATAGTTGTTTTTATACGCTCTCGGGAAGGTTACAATTGGGCTATTGCCCTCGGCACGCCTCGGGGCAATAGCACCATTCTAACCTTCCCTTGAGCTTATAAAAACAACTATTTCTCTCAAAGCAGTCATTAATACTATACTATGAAAACATGATACACAGTTGATAATTTGCATATAAGATACATGTTTTGTTTCTACTGTTCATGACAAATATTGGCAACATCTTGTAGCTATTGTGGTGTAGAGTGAACTAAGATTTTTACTTTAGGAAGCTACATCAGTACATTCTCACATCAGAAATAGTCAGAATTACGTCCCTTGAGAATGATTTAATCATCAAATGCAACACCATCCTTGCCAAATAACGACTAGGCACGATGCCATGCATTGGGTAAGACATCTTCATTTGACCTTTGACCTTTTCTACTTACTTGCACCAGGAGTGTGCAAGCCAGTTGAGGCCATCCAATTGGTAGTCCCTCAGTTCAAGCTCGTCTGTGCCTATGTACGTAGGCTGTTTCTTCAGAGCAGCAAACCGGGGTCTACTTTTTAGCACCTGGAAAAGATAGCAAAGAGACAATATTGAGGCTGCTGCCGGAAAAAATGACCCCCAAAACAACAGCAAAAGAAACATGAAAATTCCTACACCCTGCTATACCTTACATTTTAATTGATGAAGATGGGCACAACAATTTTCAATACCTGATTCTATTTTGAAAACATTTTCTCGATATTGCATGGTTTCTGAGTAGTTTGTGCATCTTTGGGGCAATGTACATTCTATTGGATGCGATTTCATACTGCTTACAGCATAGCAAGAAGTTCTTTTTCTCATGATTGCAATTATCATCAAATGCCAGGTCTGTTACAGACATCAGCAGTCAAGGCCCTCCATTTCTGTCTATTATCTGCTATTCTTAAAAAGCTGGTATTGCTGATTTCATTTTTGGTTCCCATTTGTTCTGGGAAAAATGATGCAAATGCAAAATGATGGGCATTCCCTTCCCCTGCTTCTCTTTCCAACTATAGATTATCCTTTATGTATATATGACCGACAAATTGAATTTGCCTCTTTCTTACTGTGTTGATGAGTGATGGTCTTACCCTTTGCTTTTCTTAACACTTTTCCATTTATTAATCTTTTCTGTCCATGATACATTCATAACCATTATAAAAAACCAGGGCCCCGTCTTACAAAGAGTTGATATCACAACTTATTTGCGATTGATATCAATCACAATTTTGTTCATAAGAGATGGGAGACTGCAAATTTGCAATTGACTGGAGGACTTGCGATTGATTTGGATAAATTGTAACTCTTTGTAAGACGGGGCTCAAGTCTCTTTAGCGTCAAATCTTCTTTAAAGCTCTTCTTTTTTTTTTGTCCGATTATAAGGGACCAAATTATTCACCTTTGCACTCCTGGCAGGTATCTTCTGTGACTTGCTGCGTATTGTGTAGTCCTCGATACAGTGCTGGAAGTCTCTGGAGATGAGCTCTCCATCCTCCCACGTGCAGTCGGCATAGGGAAGCCCCTGCCACTTCACAAAGTAGTCTGGGTAACCTGACTGGTAGTCACCAGGCTGCTTCTGGTTCGTGTGAGCTGAAACACAAATTTCATTCATTCAATAATTTTCATTAATTATTAAATATTCAAGATTCCGTTGAATCGCATCATGACAGGAAGTATGCATTCAGTAATAGGAGCCAACAAATTAAAGCCACACTGTCCTACTTGTAGCTACTTGCTCCCTCTATATAGAAAGCAATGCGTAATCGATGACTGTTGGTCCCCCACGGTTCCCTTTTTCTTATGTTAATTGAGAGCTGATTTGATGAAATAACCACCTGTCAGTGACCATGCAGGGAGGTCTAATCTCTCCTGGTCAAACTAGTGCAGACAGGCTTTAATTTTCATTTTTTAATAAAATATTCAAGGTTCCATTGAATCACATCATGACAGTGTAAGTATACGTTAATATATGGAACCAACAAATTAGATTTAGGTATCATTTCACTCGCTATTCTTACAGATGAAATGTGAATGCAGACTGTTCTAATGAAAACCTAAAGACTAATTTAGGCCTAGATTTCAAATATATCTTAAACATGTTCATAAGGTGGATTTCCTTACTCAAATTATAATATAGATCAACACTGCTATAAATCAACCTATTTGAATGTCATTCACTTCACATTGCTACTGTCAATGAGATATGAGGAATGGATGTTTCTTACACCAGTGCTTCATTATTCTCCTTTGTATGAAATGCACATCAAAAGATGGGACATGGAAGGGGATAGAAACTTTTGAACCAACTCTTTTTTTCCCTCTCTTCTAAATACAACTGCATATAAACCAACAAGTCAAAGTAAATGTATCAACAGTAGCAGACATTTTAGGCAATTCAAATAATGTCACAAGATGAATGTGCCAACCAAGAATGTAAATTTCATCCATTTGTCAGCAATGACAATACTCCAGTTCTATAGGGTACTCACCTATGACTCTCTCGACCCTCTGGCATTGGTCAAAGAGTTGCATGGTCATCTCATATTGACATTCAAAGTACTCTATGTCCTCTGGAGATGCAATGCGTTTCCTGCACAACAAAAAGATACAAAGAATTCCATGTAAGAAGGTCTCCTGATATCACTGCTGAAAGTCAGTCCTTTTCACTAACATATATTTAATAATAATAATAAATTGTAGAATAATTATAATAATAATACTCAGTTTTTATAAAGCGCTTATTACAATCACTAAGCGCTTCCAAACTTGGAGATTATTACCCCAGCTTTAGTTGAAGCGTCGTGGTCTAGTGGATAAGTCATCAGACGATGAATCCCATGGTCCGCGGTTCAAGTCCTGCCACGTCACTAATGTCCTTTGGCAAGACATTAATCTACATTTGTCACACTCGACCCAGGTGAGGTAAATGGGTAGCTGGTAGGAATAAATTCCTTGAAATGCTAGAGCGCCCGAATGGCAGTCACGCTGAAGCCAGGGAAATAATCGTGCAGCGCCAGAAGTGTCAAGTTTGAGTTTGACAGACATGAGCGCTCTACAAGAACCCACACTATCATTATCATTATTATATTCTCCTCAGTTTAATAGACATACTGTATGATGCGTGTATATGACATACATATTTTCAACTTTAAGAAGTCCTGACAACATACAAGTGTACTCCTCTGCATTAAAAAATATCCTTACACAACTACATAAGAAAATGGACTCATCTGGCTAATAATGCTGCCCCCCTCCCCACCCTAAATCAGCCACAGTGGACACTTACCATTGCTCTATCTCATCTTCCCTCTGAATAAAGTTCTCCAACTTCTTCATCCCTCGGACCTTCTGTGTTCTTAGTCCAGCCTCGGACTCCCAGGTATTGTGAATGTGAGCCCAAGACTTCCACTTGATCAGGTACTGTTTCTCCGTCTCTTCCGTCTCAAGGTCTATATCAGCGTTTGGATCACCATCGGTCTCCACAGCGTACACGGTGGTTATGCCTCCAGTTTCTGGGTGAAGAGTAAATTGGGATTGATAAACAGTCATTCACAAAGTCTACAGCGGTACATGGAATGGAGGGAATTCATTTAATCATCACTACTGTATACAATTTTTCTCTCACATTTTTTAAATGCAATTGGACATAATAAATTCTTTATCATATTTTTTTCTTCTTCATTTCATACTTTTGGTTTCTTTTCATTCTTTTTCCTCCCCCTTTTTTGTTGGGAAGGTGAGGGGGGCTTACCCGATTATGAGAAGAAAAAAAATATTTGAAAAGACCTATATTACTACTATTCATAAAATGGTGCAGAATGTATCCAATGATGATGTTGTGGCACATCATGTTACATTTATTTTGGCATTACTTTTAGGTTATGTCAAGTTAGAATAATATCAAACTCATCCATGATGAATTTATTGCACTAGTTATGAGATTCAATCAACTAGATAGTAATATCTATTTCTATTTCTATCTATGTGACTCGTATTGTAAGGCAAACAAGGAGTTAACTCAAGATTAAAAGTTAATTCAGTATAAAGTACTGTATACTCACTTCCTAGTCTTCCAATACGTTGACAAAGCACTCTCTCGATCATCTCACTGTTGTCATCGACTAGCTCCTGACCAGGGACTGCTTCAATGATCTCATCAGAATCAGTTGCTTGGTCACTGTCCTCTTTGTAACTGCTCATATTTTGAAATCAGAACAACATTTATTTATTTATTTATATATTTGAACATATTTCATCAGGAAAACAAGATCAGAGAGGACTGCTTTACATCCTGGTCCTAACAATTGCTAACTAAACTTTGGAGAAACACCGGTGTTGGTCACTGGATTAATATTTTCTTTGTGACTGTTTGTATGGCAAAGGAAAGATGCAACAATCAAAGAGATGACAGAAAACCAGTGCTGGTCAATGTCAAGGATATGGAGTTAATGTTTCTCAAGTGGTGCTTTTGAATTAAGGGCATTGTTTCACAAATCATCAAAGTATGAGTTTGCTGATACCCCACTTAACTGGTAAAACATTTCAAAACAGGCGCCTAAAAAATTCAAGGATAATGAAGACTTGTGAGAAATATAAATGCATCAGTACATTCTCACATCAGAGATATCAGAATTACGTCCCTTGAGAATGATTTAGTCATCACATGTATATTCATAAGTCTCATACGCAATTCCAAACAACAAAAGGAGCCCTGAAACAAAACTTACACTTCCAAATTTGTTTATAATGACTTGGGTGTAAATGATATCTTATATTATTATTGTTATTTCACCAGTGCTCTAGTAGAGCATTTCCTAGCTAATTGCCCATTGCTCTGTTGTATTTTCATTACTGATCAACATGTTATCTTACCTCACACCAGCAGCCGCCTTCCGCCTTGATGCTGCCCTCTTGATATCCTCACTGTCGGTATCGTCTTCACTTGACAGGCTTTTGTGTTTATGTTTTAAAGGTTTTTTGGATGATGAATTTTGCCTCCCTGTGATAACAGCAAACAGATATATTGTGTGGTCAGACAGAGCATTGCAAGCATTCATTTACAGTATAGCATTACAGCATATCTGTACTTTTACTTCACAAATGATTTTTTCATAGTCAACTTTTAACTTGGTGTGATACCTCTGTCCTCTTTTATTCTATCTTCCAATTGATGGCTAATCTTTAAAGTGGTATAATTTATCCTGAAATAAAACACACCACTGTATACTTATATCTAAAGTTATGCCTGATAACTAAAGTTTTTGGTAGTAATGAACATCTCACTTCTGTGACATATGAGCATTTGGGGAAATTATGTAGACTATCCTACATTACTTGGTATGTACATGAATGTGATGCTATAATATTCCTTTAAACTCTGTGCCGATATTGGTTTGTCTTGAAGTATTTCTGCTTACCCTTTTTCTTCACCGGCCTTTTCTTTCTCATGTTGCCAGCCTTCTTGTTCGAAGGGCTAAAGTCTGATTCTTCGCTTCCCTCCTCGTCTTCGTTGTCATTGTCGTCAGAGGTGTCACTTAACCTGCGTCCACAAAATGAAGAAATATGAGTATGAAATAATATATACACAAATAAACAGAAACGCTGCAAAAACTTTCAAAATAACTTGGGTAATGTGTAACCAAAAGTTTAGTTCTTAGAGGCAAAGAAATTGGACCATCATCCTATTACACTATCTAAAGAAACAAGTGCCAATGCAATGATAACAGAAATTGTTGCTCATGTACGTTACTTCACTCAGCTCTCCCTCTCATTCGCTTCTTTTATAGCTGTTCCCGTAATCATTTACATCAATAGCACAAAAGAATATGCAAGTTGTCTACCTCACTCCTCTAAGCCATACCCAGTTCCATACTTAAAAGCCACACTGTAATACTTGTAGCTACTTGCTCCCTCTATAAAGAAAACTTCCCCAATCGGTGCCTGTTTGTCCCCCATGATCCTCTTTTTTTATGTTAACTGAGAGCTGATTTGATGAGATAACCCCCTGTCCAGTGACCTTGCAGGGCAGACTAATCCCTCCTGTAAACTAGTACAGATAAGCTTTAACACTGACCTTTTGCCAGGCCTTCCTCTTCCTCGGCTTGAGGTACTTGCACTTCTTCGTCGCTTCATAGGTGTCGTCTCATCGTCTTCGTCTGATCCTTGCTGTAACGATATGAAAAATAATGAGCACTTCATCTTTTGATATCACTACACATATTTTAATTGTTTATTTATCTCAGGCTTTATTTTTAAAGCCTGCATGATCCACTTCATATATATATATACTGGGACATACTTGTATACTGCGTTCATCTTGTGTTATTTATCAATGGCGGCAGATTTTAGTGTTTCACAAGATGTATAAAGATTTCTCATTGCACTCTTCACATTTTCATTGTTGCACATGTGCCTTTGCAAGGTAGAAAAACATATTCATGAGTTTGGAGTACTAACCCTAACATGACATCTAATTCTATACTAAAATAACCATCATAAACTCCATATCTTCTTCTTTGTCCATACCTTAATGACTTGAAATCTGTCCACTTCTTTCCTTGACCTTGCTGATCTTCTCACACCGTAGATATCTGGGTACTCCTCCCACATCTGTTAAAGAACAAGCAAATACCACTTAATAACGACCAAACACTGTTATTTCAGGAGCAAATTACTACACTCTTAATCATTGGTCAAGAGTGTACTTCATTTGTCGGAACACATTCCTATTTGCCAAGGGTGACACAACTTGTGTAAGGTTAAAGGGCAATCAAACCTTTGCAATGATTTAATTAGCAACAAAAAAAAGGAACAGAATGGCGGAATTAAAAATTAATCATACCAATAATAAGAAAGTTATGACTACTTGAAATATGAGATCACTAAATATATAAGAATCGCAGGTAATTCGGTCACTGGATTGTGATGTATTCAAGGACAACTCTCCTGTTTGTGATGTAGACAAAAAGTCGTAAATTTATGTTTTTTCTCCAAAGTGCCTTCAATGAAAATGCCAAATTATTTTAAAAGAAAATGAACTAATACCTGAATATGTTCATATCAAGCTAAATAAAATATGTTCAATGAGTGTTAAAATTTTCAGAGTACATGTGTCTCATTTCACAAGAAATTTTAATTGTGTGTTTACATTTTTCCTGGCCAAGCAACTGCATGACCAATATCAATCTCCTGTAATTCGTTCATTCTCATTGTGGTAACTGAAGTTTAAAAAAAATCAAACAAGATTTCAAATTTTCTACATTTACAACTGTCCTTGCTTTTTTCAGTTTTACATGTACATGTACAGTACACGTACTCAGAGATGCCAACCTCTTGACACAAAAAAACAGACTGAGTATCCTAAAAAAAAATTTTTTTAAATCAGATTTTAGATAGAAAAATAAGATTTTCACGAAAACTCGGCACTTGTCGGCCCGGGCCAGTAAAATTTCAGAAAAATGTTTTACTGGTAAGTACGGTCAAGTAAAATGTTTGCTCTTTCATAAAATTTACTGAGAAAATTGTTAAGCAAAGTTTTTGATGGAGTTGCGGGGCTTTACTCGTACATGTTTCTATGCGATTCCGCTGTTTTTATGGGTTTAAAAAAAAAAAAAAAAAAAAATTTAAATCATATTTTAGGTGATATCGTATTATCGTATTTCACTCTTATTATCGTACTAAATACGATTTAATCCTACTGGTCGGTATCTCTGTGTACTGTATATATCAAATTATTATTTTCCACACCAAATTTTCCATGATCAATCATTACTGGTCATGGTTAAATAAAAGAGAGTCATGAAATAGAGAAGTTGTTTGTCACAAGAGAGACTTGCAGGTAAGGCTGTGCACAACAGTGTAATGAGGTACCAGAGTACACTCCCAGGCTTACAAGCGAATACTCGAATCTTCGCACGCCACGTTTTTTTTTAATTGTTTTTTTTTTTAAACTTTTGATTTTTGATCTTTTTGATTTTTTTTTGCCACCACCATATCACTGGATCAGTATCCCAGGTCCGTCGCCGAAAACGCATGCAATTTTACTTTGAGCTGCAGTTGAAGGCGCTGATTTAATAATAATAATAACAGTAAACAATGCTGTTTTAAAAACCAAAGATGGCAGAATAATCCATTTTCCTCCGTGTCCAAACGGAAATCCGGACATTTGGTCCCAGTTTCTGAGTGGTGAGTTTGACAGTGCTTGAGTTGGGAAACATTTTTACCGAAGGTACCATGCCAGCGGCTGCCGCTCTCCCTGGCACAGGTAAGCGTCGGCCTGGACAGTGCTAGGTGCTGGGATTTTTTTGCGGCCGAATATTCGAGTATGAAAAATCGTACGAGTAGTTGTCAACAATGCGGGTACTCGAGCATTCGACTACTTGTCGCAGCCCTACTTGCAGGTTAACTTTACATGTACATACCTGTATGACCTCAAAAAACCTTTGACCTTAGCATGTGACCCTCAACAACACTATAACGTTAATGTCCTCCAAAAATGTCTGACACAAGTTTGGTCACAACAGGATCAAGGTTACCTAGTTATTTTTTGACAATAGGTTTTTATGGTAAACTCTAAAATATGACCTTTGACCTTAGCATTTGACCCTTGACAGCACCATAACATCCTCAAGTGCATATCGGACCTAAGTATGGTCACTATCTAGGATGAACTGTTGCCAAGTTATTTTGTCACAAGAGAGTCTTTCAGGTAAACTTTAAAATTAAGAAAGAAAACAGATGCCCCTTTTTCTCAACTCCATGTTTGACTACCGGTAGATAAAAAAATATGAAAATAAAAAAATAAATAAAACATCTACTTGTATGTTAATTGACCTCAGTGACTGTCAAGGTTTTAAAATTCAATCATTAAAATTACAGTTGAAAGCAAAACTGTTAATAACTTAATAACATTTCATTAAAAGATTTGAATAATTATATATATATTTTTAAAATATATATAAAATATTCACTACATGTACATGTACAGAGTTATAAGTGGAATATCAGTTGATGTTCATTTGGAAAGCAGCAAATAGCAACAAGAATAGGTCAAGAATTAAGATCCTAATATTATATCAGAAAATAAAAAATAAACTTTGCAATGGGAAATTACTACACATAGGACTACTGTAACATCCTACAAATGTGCTCATCCCAGGAAGAGTTTCATTAGCAATTTGCAGATCATCAAGAAATACAATCGGAAATCATGGTCTCAAATCAGCAACACCTTTGAATCCAAGCCACAACACGACAAACAATCCTTCTTAGGCCAGCACGCCAGTAATGCATTATCGACAGGCATAGTAACACACAGTATAATCCCAAAGAGACTTACCATCTTCAGTTCTTCCATGCTATCTTTTCGACTGAGCCGACGTCCACCTAACTTGTGATCACTTCCTGAATCATCTGATCCATCATCGTTGCTACCTTCCTCGTCTTCCGCTTCACCGTCTTCATCCTCTTCCTCTTCCTCCTCGTCTTCATCTTGATTCTCATCCTCATCTTCTTCTTCCTCCTCTTCCCCATCCCCTTCTTCCTCTTCTTCTTCTTCTTGCTCTTCTTGATCATCATCATCGTCGTCACCATCTCCTTCTTCCTCCTCTTCTTCTTCCTCTTCCTCCTCCTCCTCCATATTATTGTCTGAACCAGAGGCAGAATGTGCCTCTGAATGACTGACAGCCTCTGCCTCAGAGTGCTCTTCTGATTCAGAGGCAGAGCCAGAGTGGTTCACCTCATCGCTACTATCCCGCTGCGGTGAAGCATTTTCATCAGCACTAGAAGTAAATGAAGGAAAGTTAGTTACTGACTGATTCACAATGCATCTACATGTAATGGTATTTGTACAGCAACCAAAGTGTAGAATCAAAGTTGGGTCAAAAGTTACTTTCCAAGATGGGCCAATTGCAAAGTAATTTATAGAAAAGTTCAGAAAACAAACAATACGTAACTCATGAAAGCAAGTAGATATTTAGAGGAAACACACGAACAAAAAAAAAATAAGAAAGATAAGGAAGAATTAATAAAAAAATACAGAAGTGAAAGGAGAAGAACAGAAAGAAAATTAAGAAAAAGAAAAAAATTAAGAAGAAAGAAAAAAATACAAAACTTCAGAAAAAACGGAAAGTAAATCTTCAATAACATGCATATTTGCAAGCCCATAAAATCTTGAATTTTTGTTTTAGAAATATTATGTAGCAGCTAGACTTGCATCCCCATCCAAAAAGGTACATCAAATTTATTACCCAAATTATGAAATACAATTTTGCAAACTTTTCCAAAGTGCTGACAATTTCCAAAGTGTTGTGATTTTAAAATTTCAAGTTTCAACAACAATATTTAACAATTGAATAGTTTGTTTATTGCAAGTGCATACGGACATACATATAGGCCTACATAATATCATTTGAAGAATTTTTTGGTGTAGATCTAATTCTCGATCAATTATAACAGCTAAGCAATATTGCATGGCAAAGTCAATTTCCCAGAAGAAAAGGAAAAGGAGTGAAAAGAAATTGTTAACGATAGCACACTCCCAACTTATATCTTGTGTAAATAGTGTTTTATCAAACATGCACTTTAATCTGGTCTATGCAAGGCCCTCTACACGGACATGTAGCATCAGCACTCAGAATAATAATGCCACACATATAAGAATGATCAAATTATAAATAAACTGGTACTGGTGAAAGTGATCAGCATTCTTTCAGCTTATAAACTATCTTCTAAATAGTTTTAAAATAAATTCCACTTGGGAAAAAAGTGGTACTTGGCTATAGGGTCCAGTACCATAAATGCTATACATGACTCTTTGAAACTGTAAAGATTTGCAAAGCAATATATACAGTACTAGTAATATAGGAATTGGATCTGTAGCTCCAGATAAAATGATGTAGTGTTCAGACTCCACGATATCTTGTTCTTCACAAAAAAATTACCTTCATATCACTAGTAGAATATACATGTAGCTTTAAGCCCTAACCATGACATCATAAGTACCAAACAAATATAACTGTACAACATGTTAAGATAACAGGGTGAAACAAAATCTTCTATGAATTAGACCCTAGATTTTCTGGAAAGAGCCTACAAAAAATGATGAGGAAAACATATTGATCAACTTTTTACTCACCTTGAGTTATCCTCTTCTGCTGAGGAATTGCTGTCCATGATGTGTGGAACTTGAGCAGAGTTGTTTGGGGGCTGAATTTAGCACGTATGCAATGAAAATTATGACATTTCATGCCAATAGTCCACTGCAAAATAGAAACAAGGTGAACACAAAGAAAATTATTTTATGATTCAAGTGCAAAATTGCAAAGAGAAGAGTAAAATCATACAAAAATGTAAAAAATAGGTATAAAATGCTATTTTTAACCAAGCAAAGTTTTAAAATGAATTATTTTATACAGAATAGTACTACAGAAAGCTGGTTTTAGTGACTTTTTAGTACAGTCCCATACATTAAGAAAACTGTCGCTAGAACTTTCCAAAGCCATTTCTGTGAAAAGAAAGAATAACCACTTCATGTGCAAAAGAACCAATGGACCAAATTTTCACCTCAACATAATAAGTATTAACCAAGGAACACTGTGGGAACAAGGTTTAATAATTTTATAAAGAAATACAGTGAAAAAACAGATGAATAACATAAACATTTGTGCAAGCAAATTCAACAAGTCAGGTCATTTCAAATCCTTGAAAAGGATGTCTTTCGTCTTTTAAAACAAAGCGATACAAATAAAAATCACACCACTGAATTTTCATAAAAGCTTACAAATCACAGGACTACAGCTCATATACTGAGATTGTCACATTTGATGAAAAAAATGGTTCAAAACACACCCACAGGAAAACTCCGTACAGAATCGACAGTTACGTGCATTACAACATGTCTTCCCATTCTCGTCTCTCGCAAAAAAATGGCTTCCCACTCTCTCGCTCGGTCAAAATACAAGCTCGTACGGCACTAATAACTGTTAAAATGTGAGATGTTGAAGAGCTTAGAAACAATAAATCTGATCATCACTAATAACTAAGAACACGGCTGACTCAAACTTAACTGAACTGAGTGCTTAAAGTGCAAGAGGAATGGTATAAAAATCACCTCTTTGGGATAAGTGAAGCTTGGTCTGGAAAAGACGCCATGCTAGATGATCCCTTGTATATTTTTTTCTTCAGCCCAATGTTTATTGCATTCTGGGTAATGCGCAGTAACAAAGAGCTGAGTGTACAGAGCAGGAAAGAGCAATTTAGAGTACTCTTTATGTTATATGACGTTATTATTTCCCAGAAACAGACGTGAAGGTTTTCGTAGTGTAGTGGTTATCACGTGCGCCTCACACGCGCAAGGTCCCCGGTTCGAGCCCGGGCGGAAACATTTTTTTTACCCTATTAATAAGTTCCACAATCTTCTTTCTACTCTTTGAGTTACATACTAAATATATACCCATGAACATTCAACAACTCGAGTACAAATGAAGAAAAACTTGAAGGTATTCGCTTTTTTCCCATCGTTGCTAACGATGCCCTCAGGAAATGTTATATCTTATCTTGCGAGGTTGCATAGCGACCGAGATGGAATACTTCACGAGTTCTAAATACTGAACTTTGCATTTTTTCTCTTAAGTCTTCTCATCATTAATATTAGACAGTTTTTGCGTCTCCCAAATATTTCGCGTATTACCCTCATTCAACATTTGCTAGGAAGAGGCTGACTTCTTGAATGGCCGACCACAGTTTGGTATTAAAGCAAAAGTAATGATCACTTAGACAAATTTTGAGAAGTCTCAAAATTTCGGAAAAATTTAGAAAAACAAATTTCGGTAAAAAAAATAGTTTCGTGAAAAAATTATTTCCTCCCAAAAAAAAGTTTTCTGAGTGTCTTTGTTCAGTTTGCTTGTTTGTTTCGTTATGTTATAGAATTGGTGTGCACATTATATTTTGTCAAGTTTGAAAAGTTATGCGCGAATCTGTAACTGTTGACCAGGTGGTGAGATAAAAGAGCGCATTAAATTTCAGGATTTAGAATTCCTATCATCAGAAATGGTATCACAGCAACTGTTCGCTGTCCCTTCCAATGATTTCTCATCATTATTGTTAAATGTGTAATGAGTAGAACAAGCGAACACAAACTTGTGTAATTTCATCCTTTTTCCAACTGCAAAAATACAGAAAACACGCCAAAACACGTCAAAACACGCATTAGCCAACATAATAGTTATCGAAGGTTGTATATCATGGATTAAATAACGGGGCATGACACTCACAAATTAGCGCATTATCCTAAAATATTGAGTTTTTGTCAGGATCTAATTTTTCTTTTACCAACTCTGGTACACAAATTATAGGAAGGGCGGAGTACTAAATTGGAAAAATTGTTTGATGCACTATTCCCATTACATTCCCCAAATAAAGTTTATAATTTACACTGAAATTTTGCCGGTAATTTGATATTTTGTAATAAATGTGAAACTGGTGCATGGCCTCCGAAATTCCCCGCAGTGGAAGCGCGGTTCGGAGCATGGAACTTCAAAGCCAAGTGGATTGTTACGCTTTAGAACTCACGAAAGCGTTTGAATAAATTTCAAGAATTACCACTCCTTTCTTTCACCTCCCAGCTTAAAATTTTAATGTCACCTTGTGGCCGGCGTTATTTTGTAACATTTTATTCTTTGTACATATGAAAAGTCATGGAATGCATGTATCGATCTTTTGTGAATTAAATAGATAATTAATAAGGAACCATGTGGAAGGGTAAATAGAAAGAAGGAGAAAAGAAAGGGGGGGTTCTATAAGCTAACTTTATTAGTTTTTTAATGTTGGCATAGATACCCCCCCGCCCCCCTAAAAATAAAGAGACACATTATAATCTCTGTAGGTTATAATATACACGATCTATATTAATACGCCGCAATATAATAAGCGTGCATAAATTATGTCTTGATGGTATACACGACCGTGATACATTTTTCTTTTGTCTCTCCCTTTTTCTTCTTTCTCTCCCCATTTTTTTAAGGGGGAGGGGGCGTTTAAATTTGTCTAGAGAATGGAGCTGTAGCCCCAAAGTCTCAACAGTATGCATGCGGGAGAGGGGGTTTACTAAACAGTTATCCTCCCCTCTCTCTTCTTCTTCTCTCTGCCCTCTCTTTCCCTTTCTTACCCATTTCACTCAGGATATCCAAGTATGTTTGATCTCGACAGCTGGTTTCTAGACTCCCACGTTCTCGCTCCCTCTCTCCCTCTCTCCCTCCCCTTCCTTCAACCTTTCACTATTCATTTTTATTATTATAAGTAGGATTATATACTTATTATTGTAATCGTTCCTGTTTTCCTTTAAATATTTTTTATATATTTTTGATGTATACATGCATTTTTTTTAATTTTTTTTTTTTTGGGGGGGGGGGGGGGGGGGGGGGGTCTTAAGCTTATTAAATAGCCCACGCATTAGAATTTATTTAAGTACAATTTCGCATGACTGCTTTCTTTCATCATGATTGTCAAGTATGCTGTAAAGCATTCCTTGTGTTCAGTTGTTTGATGTTTTATTCCATATGCAAGTTACAATAAGCAACAACCTGAATAAATAAACAAAGTTGAAACAATTAAATATAAATGAGAACATGTTTGAAAAACACACACAATAGAGATAAACATACATTATTTTCATTTGCGACCCCAAGATAAAGATTCCAAAAATATGGCGTCAAGAAGACTCATGATATTAATGATAAACAGGTTGTTTATATTCCATTGATTAAAACGTTATCAGTATTTCATGGAAATAACCAGTATCTAATCACAAATTAAGTTCTTCCATCGTTATGAATAACTCACCCAACACATAAATGAATACAACCATAATCTCCCATTAAAATTTCATTGAATTAGTGGTTTATATGAAAACCACACACCCTGGCAATCTGGCCTAGAGGACCGTTTCCTCTTATGGTACTCTCCTTCATACATGTTGTTTGACAACACTTAAAGGAATAATAATTACAAATCATTGTAATTTAACTCTAAAACACAAAACTGAAGACCATTCAATGACTATAACCGCAAATGATTAACTCTCAGAATATTATTCTACAACTGTTTTGCTAAATGTGATTATAAAGAGTTAACCTCAACAACACATTCTAAAACTATACCTCCTAAAGAATACAAATATCCTAGCAGATAACATAGTAACATCCAAATCATCTCGATCAAGTGACCGTTACGTACGTCATAGAACTTTCTCATTATAGCTGTGGAATGTTTAGGCTAAAATGACAAGTGCAGTGTGTTAAAGCTTTTACTCAGAATATGTGTGAATAATACTTCCTAGAACTACAAAGAAAGAGAATTTAACAGACTTTACATAATAAAACAATTTAACATAATAACGGTATTTATGCAATGGTAATTTCTGGGTGATGTATCTGTTTCTTTAGTAATCTGCAATGTATTAAAAACATGATCCCATCATCATCATCTTCAAACCAACCTAATTAAATAATGTTAAAAAAAATATTCATGAGAGTTTAGCGTACACAAAAGAGAGGAAAAGAACACTGTTCTGTAAATGCAATGTCGTTGAGATACGATTAATTCTATTTTTAGGGGAAAATATCCTAACGAAATTTTGGTATAATGTAAAGCAGAAATATTGATAAGCTGCATTGGACAGTATTTACAGGTATCAAAACTCCAACAACCTATTTCTCTTTTTATCTTTTTGGCTTTTTCTTAGGTCGCGCCTGTCGAGAAGTTTTGGATTTTCGTGTTTTGGGTTGTTTAGCTTTAGGAGGTTTCTTTTGTGTTACTTTGGGCTTTTTCGCTGTCTTTGGCGCCTTCTTCTTGGGTGCCTTAGTTTTCTTCGGTTTTGAGGTGGTCCCCTTCGGTTTTGAGGTGGTCCCTTTCGGTTTCGAGGGGGTCCCCTTCGGTTTTGAGGTGGTTCCTTTTGGATTTGAGGTGGTCCCCTTCGGTTTTGAGGTGGTCCCCTTCGGTTTTGAGTTGGTCCCTTTCGGTTTTGAGGTGGTCCCCTTCGGTTTTGAGTTGGTCCCCTTCGGTTTTGAGGTGGTCTTCTTCGGTTTTGAAGTGGTCCCCTTCGGTTTTGCGGTGGTCCCCTTCGATGTAGACTTTCTTGATGCCGTCAGCTTTTGTCGTTTCGTAGCTGGACCAGGAATGGTGTTAGCCTGTCGTTTTGGAGCTGCTGGGCGAGGATTGTAAACCAGCCTAGCTGGAGCTGAAGAGGCTCGATTCACGTTGGTTGTGATATGATGATGATGCACGGCCGGTACTGAAGGGGCGCTTCAACAGAGAAAAAAGTGAAGGGAAAAAACAGAATGCATCAAGGTTCTGAGTATTGGCATTACTCTCAGTAATTAGGTAGTGAAATCCGTTTGAAACTTGTAGTAAGATATAACTATAATACTCTGAATGCCTCTATGAAACCTTTGCTTTCAGAAATCCTCTCTGTTTGAAATAAACATAACGTGAATGGAAGCATTCTTGGTGAAAGCTGACATTATATATTTTTTTTAATTAAGTACATGATTGTAATGAGGCCTATACCTGTTGTAATTGTTTGTCTGTTGACCAATCACATTGTTCCCTGACACATTACTGGCCCCTGAAGCATTAATGGTGTTAGTGCCGCCAGTCTGAGTCAGTGTACGCGGTTGCTCTATTGTTGATAAAAGTGTTAGAAAATCAGAAACATTCATATTATCTTATTGTATCATATCAAACTTAAAATTTAAACTTAAAATCTTTAAGGCGAATTTAAAACCCAAATCCCAAGTAAAATCGGTTCCTTGGAGATTAAGTCAAGATGTGCGAATCCTCTGTTAACAAACTTCGTGTTTATTAGGTAATACTATATATTATATATTATTGCAAGAGAGTAGTTCATTTTATTTAACTAAATTACTGACTTCAAAACAAGTATTTGCAAATCTCCTTACATCAGATTCCACACTTTCTTCATGAAATTCATCTACAGGTTGAATTGAATGAATTGAATGAATTGAATGAACTGAATTTAATTGGAAAAAATGATATACATGTACGTATAAACCCTAAATCACGATATCAAAAGTCCTATGCATATCTAATTTTCTGTGAAAATCAATCTAAAAGGGGTCATGAACAATAAAATCGTGGAGAACCGACTGTAGGTAAGCGCTGCTGGTTTGTCAACGCCTATATATTTTGTAAAATGGGCGCAGATCAAAAATGAATACAAATCTTGATTAAGATACTAAATGATAAATGCTTGGCTTGAAACAGTCTAACTGACTCATAAAAATGACATTTTTAAAACCACAAAGATATGAATATATTAATTTTAAGAGCAGTTAATATTTAATTTACACTTCTGATTTGAACTAATACCTTGTGTGGTGGATACCAAAGTTCTTGCTGAAAATTAGTCTACACCTACATATATTGCAAGAGATTAATTCATTTAACTTGATAACTGAATTCAGAACAACTTGTCTAATCACCTTCATCAGATTCGTCCTCTTCTTCTTCAGATTCGTCCTGCTCTTCATCAGATTCGTCTACAGGGTGAATTGAATGAATTGAATTGAAAAGAAGGTGATATATGTATAAGCTTTAATCACGATATCAAATGTCCTATGCAGTATGCATATCTAATTTTCTGTGAAAATTACGATAAATCAATTCAAAGTGCGCCATGATCAGTAACATCATGGAGAACCGACTGTAGGTATCCATTGCAGGTTTGTCAATGTGCATATATTTTGTAAAATGGGCGCAAAAAAAAGATGCAGAACCTGCAAAGATGAATAAAAATCTTGATTAAAATACTAAATGATAAATGCTTGACTTGAAACGTTCTAACTGACTGATAAAAATGACAATTCTAAAATCATAAAGATATGAATATATTTACGTACAGTTATTATTTCATTTTACACTTGTGATTCGAAAAAAAACCATGGGTTGTTGAACTTAAAGTTGGTGCTGAAAATTAGTCTAAACCTAGATATAATTTCAAGAGATTAATTCATTTAACTGAATAACTGAATTCAAAACAATTATTTGTCTAATCACCTTCATCAAATTCGTCCTCTTCTTCCGCTTCTTCATCAGATTCATCTACAGGGAGAAATTGAAAGAATTGAATGAAAAGGAAATTGATATTTGTATAAGCTCTAATCACGATAAATGTCCTATGCATATCTCATTTTCTTTTTAAAATGTCGATAAAATAATTTTGAAGTGCGTCATGAACAGTGAAATCGTGGAGAACTGATTGTAGGTAAGCCCTGCAGGTTTGTTAATGTCCATATACTTTGTACAATGGGTGCAAAACAAAAACGAATACAAATTTTGAATAAGATACTTAAAGGGAAATCTCACCCAAATAGACAACTACTTCAAAAGAAAGCAGACAAATCATAGAAGCAAACTAATGAAAGTTTCAATTAAATCTGACTAAATATAAGAAGGTTATACTTTTTTGAAAGTTGTAATCACTACAAGTATATGGGCACTTCAAATTGGCTGAAGCGGTAATGTCAATGTGATGTAGTGCCGGACTACTCTCCCATCTGTTCCATCATAATTATATACATTTTTCAAAAAATTCATTGCTCAGGAGGTCTTTTCTTTTTAGAGGACTTATGATAATAGGCTATCTATAATACATTTTGAGTATAGTGCCCCAAGGGAAAAGGAACTTACTAGAAAAAAGAAGAAATTAATGATATTTTTGTACATGGCAAATAGGAGAGTTATCCACGTGATACATCAAAATACACTGACCGCACTACCAATTTGAGATTCGCATAGACTAAGATAGTGATCTCATACTTAAAACATTCATAACTTCCTTATTACTATTGGTCTGATCATTTCAAACTTTTGCCATTCTGTTCCTCTTATTTTTCTGCTTGCATACAAATCAACTTAATACCAGAGTTCAGTCCTTTAATGATAAATGCTTGAAACGTTTTAACTGACTCCCGTTATAAATTACAATGTTGAAATCATAAAGATAGGGATACATACGGAGCAGTTATCATTTAATTTACACTTGTGATTTGAAATTATAATTAAACAAATCAAAAAATTAAAATACATGAGATAGGCCTACTTCATTTTATCATTACAAAATTTTAATATATACAAAGGGTTTCAAATTAATGATCGGACAGAACACCCGTGCTGTTAGAGTTACAATTTCAACGTTTTTGGAGGGTAAAACGATTACCGATTTACCATCGTGATAATCAATTTATATTTTTTCGAAAATTTACGCAAAAACATCATCATCAGGAATCATAATAAAATTTTAATGATTTTCATGCTATTTTTGACACAGAATGATGAGCCTTACAAAATTGTTTCTTTCTCAATCTATTTCATTTCAGAGAGGAACAAAATCAATGCATCTTTCTTTTCTTTTTTACCTGAGAGTATTCCAGTTTGACTTCTGCCAGCTTGCCCCGAGTCCGTTGACGCTTCGCCTGCATACAAATGAAATATGTGATTGAGTATAGTCCAAAGATATAATCATGATAATTCTCAATGCAATATCCCAGAATGTGAATTACAATGTGTATATTGTAGACCTAAATTTGAGCAGAACCTTGGGTTTTTTTCTCCTCTCTCCTATTTTTTCCCTGACAGGTTCTGGTTCTGGATTTTACTCCGACATAGCGGGATCCCGCATGGCGTCAGAGGGTTCAATTTAGCATGGTAGAAGTTTCAAAGATTTAGCTTAATGATACTTAAAGGTACTATATGTCCCATTTGCAGGCCAACAAAAAATAAAAAGGTTAAATTCCAACGGCATTTGAAAGATAATACTTATTTAGAACTTCCCTAAAAAAAAAGTGGGCTTGAAAATGTCTTTAAGTAGGAAAATAACGACTATTAGTTGTCAAATCGATTTAAGTGCTACCAAGTCAGTAAGTAATAGTCTGATTTTCAGACCATTGTATCAAATGATCGTACGTTTTGTGCTGCACAAAGATTCAATCAGTTTAATTTGGCAATTACAAGAAATAGTTTATTGATGTAGACAAATGCTCACAGGCGCGTACGCAGGGGGGGGGGGTTGAACCCCCCCCCCTTTGGTATTTTTATGTGTGTAAACCCCCCTAACCCCCCCCCCCCTTGGGTTTTTTTTTTTAAATTATAAAAAAAAATATAAAAAAAATATGCCCGCCATGACTGACCTAAAAAGCGGTGACCTTACCCCCCCCCCCAACGAAGAAAAATGTCAATTTTTCAAATTGTGAGCCCCCCCCCCCTTGAAAAAATCCTGCGTACGCCACTGAATACTCAGGTACCCTTTACAGCTCTTTTACAGTATTTACAGTATTTTTTTGAAATTCAAATGTCACGTTTTATATAAATCAATTATAGTATATACAAATATTGTTTTTTTTTTTTAATATTTTGTATTTGATTTTTCAATAACTGCAGAAACATCTGCAAAAAATGCACAATACGATTATAATAAATGATATAGCACACAAAATAATCCAATCATGCTACCTTATTTCAAAATAATTTTATCACTCTAAATATTATTTTTATTAACAAATCTTTAGGAAAATTACATAACAGTTAAGGGCGTATTAATCAACGTATATTCCAGAGTATATTTTTTACAATATTATTTCCTTCTTTTTTGGTTTAAAATGCGTACCACATGCAGTTTGACAATAGTTTAATAATCATTGACCTACCTCCCAAATGCTTTTCAGCTAGCCTGACTAAGCCTGCTTCTTTCAGCGCTTTCTTCAGGATTGGCCGTTGTTGTTCTTTGGAGGTCTTATCACGCCAATCATTTAGCATTTGCTTGGTTCCCTGATTCGTCACAATGGCACCCGAATAGTTGTTAGCCTTATAGATATTCATTTCTGCAGGTATATAACCTAGCTTAAGACCCAGTCCGTCTAATTTTTGGTTGATGCCAATACCTCTGGCAAGGGCTTCTATTTCCATATCAGTGATGGCCGACGCCATGTTTTACTCTGCCATGAATAGAAGGAATTTTTTTTTTTTTGTCTTCTTCTTCTGGGAATAAATCACAATAATGATTAGCATTAGCATATGCTATCCATCAAAAGTCAGCAAAATATGTTCGGAGAAATGCAATGGAAAAATAGGTGACCACTATATGGTGACAATGAAAACTGATAATTTCATGAATCTTCTATACTGCTATTCATCATAAAATTTCGAAGAAAAAATTAGTTCATTGCACCGCCACTGGCATGTGGAAAATGCTTAAAATATCAACTTAAGAAGACAGGTAATCTGACCTTTTATGATTTATTTTATTATTCACACCATTATCTTTTGTCTCTGTCTTTGAAGCGTTATGGGAAATTAAATTCTAAAATGGTTACTCGTCCCCCCCCCCCCCCCCTCTCTCTCTCTCTCCTGTGCTTTTTTTTTTTTTTTTAATTGTGAACATCAATACTAATTATGCTTCGTATTCTCGTCATAAAAGGAGGGACATTCTCACTTAGAAGTCTTAGATGGTATCACACATAGATGTCACTGCAATCATGCCGATTCCTAACAAGGCAGATATATTTGCATTATAACCTGTACTGCATCCGCCACTAGCTATACCAGTTATACCACCACCAACAGCGACAGTACGGTGCACTATTTTCGAATTTCATTCAAGTTTTGCCAATTTTGCAAACATAAGATTATAACAATTGTAATTAATTGATCTTATTCCACTTACCTTAGAAGATAATTTAAGTAGATTGAGTAAGAAACTGAACAGGTTGTCGATGTACGCCGTACGCCGTTAAGTATATACGATTACAACACATTAATAATTCAAATCATGCGTATTCCATTTATATCTCGACCATGCAAATTATGGTTCAAAGTTCACGTGATAACAAGGCGGGAAAAACAGTTGCTCTGGGGAAAACCCAAGAGTAGCGTAGGAATATAATAAGCGGTACATGCATACATATAAATTGAATTTTCAAAGCAACATTATGTTACAAAATCAATTTTGATATACGGTATAGCTCGTTCCCATTATATCCAAGCACAAAACTTGCACTCATACACCCATTGGAAGGAATTTTAAAGTGGTACGGTTTCAGTGGGGTCGACGGGTTCGAAATGAAATGACAATTTCCATGGTAAGTTGATACAAGTGGAAATTCAGTGACGTAATGAAAAAAACGTTTGGGGGACAGTGAAAAAGAATCCGCTTTACCAGTATCCTCTAACATGTTACATGCAGGCCCCGCGGAACATTCTTCAAAGTGGGTGGGGGGCTATTTTCGATCAGTTAAGGTCAGGTAGAGCGTAGTGTGCGAAGTGAGTGGAGCGTAAATTGGTGTGGGTTCGCCTTAGGGCCTTTAGTGGGGTCCTGAGGGGGCAGAACACCCGTATATTAAGCATTGAATCACGGTCACATGAGCATATTTTTATACCTCATTTGTGAAACTGGCAGGTCACTATTCTTTCTTTCTTTCTTTCTACTTCTCTTTAACATATTATATATTGATATTCATAGGATTCAGTATACGAGTAAATTTCTACACTCACTCAATATTCCGGAAGTACATGTAAATCTGAAAAATGGCTTGAGGACAACTCCTTGGCCTTGGGGAAGATTTTATCCCTAGGTATCGGGCGACGGCTGAGGACACATCGGGGGAAAAGGGGTGGCAGTGACGGATTTGAAGACCATCTTAAATTGTGGTCTATCAATGCACGCTCCCTTCGAAATAAATCCACAATTTTTCATGACTTTGTTAGGGATAACAAATGTGATATCGCTGCTATCAGTGAGACATGGCTGTCTGCATTTATAGACCACCAGGTTATCAATCTTTTTCACTGTTCATTAATGAACTCTCAGATCTGTTGGATGAGAAATTGTATAAATTAGCTCCTCTGGTTATCACAGGAGTTCTTAATGTACATTTTTATAATCATTCTGGTCATTCTGGTCAGGAACTCCGATAGAATGTTGTACTCTCGCCTACGAGTCATACCCGGTATCTCTGATCACTCTGCTGTTACCTGTTTGCTCCGTTTCGACAAGCCCAAACGGAAAGATGCAACTTTCTCCTCTCTTAATATTAAGGGCATCAACAGGACTGATTTCGGCAACGATGTTACTAACAGTAGCATCATGTCTTCATCAACATAGAGCGTCGATGCTGCCGTTATCCGCTACAACTCAGAACTCTGCAGGTTACAGAACTCCCAAGCTCCAGCCAGGACTCGGAAAGTAAGATCTCATCAAGACAGTCCTTGCCACCATGACATCACCGAAGCGAAGAAAGATTGACCGAGAGATGTTTTGTGCTCAGAGGGACCGGGTGAGCCAGGCGCGGATCCAGGATTTCTTAGGGGGGGGGGGCCCAAATTTGAAATTATGCGAGCCAAATATTGGTACGTTATGGTGGCCAACGGTGACGTAATGCGGGGGGGGGGGCGAGTTTCCCCCTCCCAGGCTTTGACGTTTCATTATATTGTTAGAGAAAGAAGACGATTCGTTGTACCGTTCTCGAAAATAATTCTCGTGTGAATTAAGTTTTTCCCCTCCCGCGCGAAGCGCGGAAAATTTTACGATTTATTAAATTATTAGAGAAAGAAGACGATTCGTTGTAGAGTTCTCGACTATTAATCCTTGTCTAAATTCAGTCCCCCCCCCTCCCCCCTCCTGCGCGAAGCGCGGAAGCTTTGATGTTTTATTAAACTATTAAAGAAAGAAGACGATTCGTTGTAACGTTCTCGACCCTTTATATTCGTCTGATTTCAGCAGTTCCCCCCCCCCCTCCCGCGCGAAGCGCGAAAGCTTTTACGTTTCATTAAATCATA